TTTTTATAGGTTTCTAACAATACCATGAAGACTTTGACTATACAGAAACCGGTCGTATGCTCGGAATTGAAATATGTTTGAGTAACGATTCTAAAAGCGTTGTTCGTTGCTAACAACAAAGGGAAGCGTTCTCCGTTTCTAACAAAAAAATGAAGCGTTGTTTGTTTGGTATGTACTCGTTTCTTACTCACAGACATTTCGCAAGCTGGAGAAACTTTTTCTCGGCTTCTAACAAAACCATGAAGACTTTGACTGCACAGAAATCGATCATATGGTCAGAAAGGCCATATGATCGACCACACTCGTCGCACTGTAGGGCTTGTTGACGTGGTCTAACTTCATTATCACAATTACTTATTATTGTTACTGTTACACATTCAATGCAAGGATGAATGCTCATTTTTATCGGTTCGTATTCGTATTGTAGCTAGCTTTACCCTCTTCATATATACTTTGATCGGATCAAAATATACATGCGACCGCCCAAGGAAAACAATGCGCAACTACATAATTTTTGCCTATTCTGATCCTGAGGGAAATGATGCTATCAGACTACTACTGTAAAAAGGAACAAGCATAAACAAGAGATTGTTATCTTAAAAATATCACACTTACCTTACGCAAGGCAACAAGTTAATTGTATTTGTATGTTACTCGCTTTACCTTTTACCGAGATTGTCGAACGTCACAATCGACGTTCATTCACCAGGTGTTTTCATCTGTTATTGTTAAGAAAGTCACAAATAGACACAACAGAACTTTACTTGTATGTTAAGCTGCATCCCTGCATTTGTTGTTATAGAAACGAACAACGCTTCCCTCTGTTGTTAGAAACGAGCAACACTTTTAGAGTCGTTACTCAAACATATTTCAATTCTGACCATACAATCGATTTCTGTGTAGTCAAAGTCTTCATAGCATTTTAAGAAACAAGAAGGAGTTTCCCAAGCTTTCGAAATGTCCGTGAGAAGAAACGAGTACATACCAAATAAACAACGCTTCATTTTTTTGTCAGAAACAGAGAACACTTCCCTTTGATGTTAGGAACGAACAACGCTTTAAGAATCTTCATGGTGTTGTCGGAACACCATGAAGATCGGGCGACTTGACTTTTTTTTCGGGCGACATTACTAAAATTTCGGGGCAACATGACTCAGGTTTCGGGCGAGATGACTCTCGGGCGACTTGACCGGTTACCGTGGATTTCAAGTTACTGTGCAGCTTGTATTTATCAACAAAACATTACGGTAATTTTGTTTCACTTCTGACATATGAAGATGGTAATTCAGCTGCAATGAAACATGTAAAACATATCAGTTGTGTAAACAAACTTGTAGAGGCAATTCATTATATTATTCAAAATAAACAGCAATGTCAGACTATAGAGTATGATATACAATTTATTTGCAGCTCTTGTGAAATTAGTGAAAAAAAGAAGGGAAAAATATGGTGAGAAAACACAGAAAAAAAACATGTAACTGACGGCATGGAACCTGTTGCCAAAAAAAGGTTTGTAGAATAGATTCAAAAGAGGTATTCAACAATGGATCCTACAAAAAAGAAAGAATTATCTCGCAAACGCAGACAAAATCACCAATCTTTAGATGGTACAGAGAAGAAAAAATTACTTCACAAACGCAAAGAAAAATTCCAATCCATGAATGCGACAAGGAAGAAAGAATTATTTCAGAAACGCCCAGAAAAATACGAATCAATGGATACAGAAGCTAAAAGAGATATATTGAATAAAGAAAAAGAAAAGAAAGAATCAAAGTCAAAGCCACATCTATTGAGTCACGTATTAGACAGTTTAAGAGGAAAATAAGAGAAGGCCCTTATTTCATATGTACTGTCTGTAATCGAATACTTAATAAAAATCAGTAATGAGGCGTATAAGCAACAAGTACCCCTGCCAAACATTTTTCAATATTCAACAATCATTTGATGGTAAAGAATATATATGCAAGACATGTCATTCAAAAGTCATAAATGTTGATGAAACACCCACACAACTGGCTTAACTAGAAAAACTAAAACTAGTACTAATTGATTCACAATTTTCGATCCTCTAGAGCTTCTTAGTTTTTCTTTCCGCTTCTTTTGACTGCTTTTTTTTACGTAAAGTTCCTAAAATTGGAACTTCAGTGTGGTTTATCCAATGCATAGCACTATCTACCCTTCAAGAAAACGGGCCTGATTGACAAAAATTCCGTTGCAAGGAAAATCGCCTAAGAAAGCTCGAGTTAACGCCTTTAAAGCGTCTAGTTGACTGAAAGTCTAACTTTTGGAAGATGAAGTGTAAATCTTTTTGATCTGCAAAGGTTTTTTCGGGAATGATTTAGCGCGATTTAATCTTATTTGCCGAAAATGTACACAAATACAGGCAAACTCAAATGTTTGGCATTTTACGTCCAATCTACTGCATATTTAACATAATATCCTCTTACCTTCCATGTTGCTGTTTTGAATAAGAAGGCTACAGTCCTGAAATTGTTACATCGTTCACATAGAAGCAAAACAACTTGGCAGGATAGTCAACGCCTTCCAAAGTCTATTTCGGGGTATTTGATTTGAGGTTTCTCTACTCCCATTTCGTTGAAAAGGAGGCTGTCATTACTTCATGTAAGATAACTTTGCTTAAATATTAGTAATCAACCAAACTGCGCACCAAATGTAAGCGGAATGTTGCTAGTTGAGAAACATGTTTCAAGTGTGCGTGCGGAATAATGCTAATTAATTCAAAATAGGGTTTACTGAAAGCGACAACTCCGCAAAAATAGTACATTGGACCGTGAAACACGTGACCTCGAGAAATTAGGTCGGTATTTAAATATACGAAACAGTAGCAAACAATTATCTAACTTCGATCCTTATAAAATGTATCATGATTAGATAAATCATGGTATTTTTTGAATTATTGTTCTCGGTGGATAAAGCAAAAGACCTGCAAAGGGCATAACCCAACACTGCAGATGCATGTACAATAGAGCAAAGTGCAGTGTTTGAATATTTGTTTATTAAAAAAGAAGCTGTTTTAAGGGTCAAAACCACAACTTTCATTGAAATGGTTGTACTAGCCAACGCTCAACGGATTTATATTTATACTACTTCTTCCCCAGAGGCTACCTTGCCTCGTGAAGTTACTCTTGCCGGTAGTAAGACTACAACTTAGGTGGCACGTTCTTATATTTACATTTGTCTTTTCCTGGAAGTGATCCAAAAAGGCTTACGTTTGTTTATAAAACCATCTATACGTATCTCGAAACTCAAGAAACGCCTAGAGTGCGGCTCAGTATACCTCACATTCGGGACGTAATGTAAAACTACATGTCTCCCGAAAGTTAAGTGTGCTGATATTGTATACTTTAAACAGTGGCGTTTGAAAGAATCATCCCTGCTAGCAAGATATTTTGCACTCTAAGCAGTGATCTCTCCCCCTCAAATATAGTCGGGTCTAAAACCATCAGAGAATTAGAGCGGAGCTGGCAGTGCGCGCAGCGTAGCCCCATAATTATGCGACATAGTAGCAACCCATCACGCCGAAAAGATTTGGACCTATGACCGTACGGGTGTCCGTACAAGATGCTACTTTTAGCATGCACAGCCAACTGTTCTGTGGGAACTATCTTAGCCATTACGTAGTGGAAGAGCGAGGAAGAAGGTAATGCACAGACGCGATTGCTTGCGTAACTTGGATACCCCATTAGTGTGCGCCAGGAGACACCGGTTCCAGACCTCGTCAATTCTTCCCTTCATCCCCACCCCCCGAGCTGGTCTCTAAATCCCCTCGAAGAAACTCTTCTACAGCCAGCGCTGAAGAGTTTTATTACAGCTTTTATTCAGTATAAAGAAGGGCTGGAAAATAAACTAACAGGAGCTCCGCTTTTAGGCTTAGCTAAATCTATATGTTATGGCAATGTATTATAGAGCGTAGATGATGTGTAATGACGAATTTAAAATATAAGCCTGTTGACTGGTCTGACCAGAATTTTCACGCCCCCTTCTAAAGGATTAGCATTTAGATTTTACCAGAAAAAAGAAAGTAAACAAACCCATGTTGTGCTTATCTTCTTAATCTTTCCTTCCAAGTTCAGAAATTTAAGAAGTAACTAACTACTTCGTATAGACGGCTTTAAAGGAAACACTTCCTTGTTCAGCTTTAGTGGATCACCAAGGTACGTTAGTAATTCGTAAGATTGCAGACAGGGAGGGAATCCTTACGCATGCAAGGAATTCAAGGTTTGCATTGGGCATTTAGTCAATGCTTTTACAACTGCACTTGTCAACTAATTCTTAAATATCTATATATATATATAGCTCAAGCACCGTACAAATCTCCCGCGGCATCTCTTCGGAAAACTTCGACAGCTTGGAGTGGCACACAGTTTCACAGATGTTGTATTTGTTAAAGATGATTGAATGCTGAAGAGCAAAAGTCTTCATTACTTCCTTAGTAAGCTCTTCCATGTCTTTATTTCTGTTTGCCTCATATTTTTCAACATCTTCACCGCGAGAGCTGAAACTTTTTTTCGCTGTTAAGCGAGAAAAAAGTCCTGCTATCTACTGAGGTGTGAGGAAGTCGTCATTTTCAGAGATACTGGAGCCATCGTTGAGCTTAGCTCTTCGCATTGCCTTCGAAATGAAAGAAGGATCAGCCGTTTTCCCGGTGCGTTCTACCTCTTGAAATACTTCAGTTAGATAGTTTTTCTGAGCATGGTAAGGTTCTTTCTTGTTACTATCTCTGACTTCAGAGCCCATCCCATCAGTAGCGCTGATGGGATGCGCTCTAACGATATATATATATATATATATATATATATACCAGGAAATGACGCAGCACAACTGAAGCATGGCGGTGGTACCGTTCCTGAAACTGTGAATGAAAGTGTATATACACTTTCATTCACAGTTTCAGGAACGGTACCACCGCCATGCTTCAGTAATGCTGCGTCATTTCCTGGTCGTACAGCTTTTCTTTTTCCAGGGCATACTTGTTTTTGTCACAGTCCAGATGTTTTTCTAAGGAAGAGAAATGCTGGAAGGACTTGATGCACATCCTTTTTCACAGGTTTCATCGTCACTGTCTCTCTCTTGCTGAAGCCTCTGCTACTTCTGTGGGTTTTTTTTTGCGCTTGGTCTAGCTTTGACGGTTTGAAAAGAAACGTTAGAAATCGCATTATCGGTATTCTTGTTTAACTGAGGACGAGGATTACTGCTTTGTTGACAGAGACTAAGCTGAACTACCCTAGGGTGAAAATTTACCGGAACCAACTCCATACGCTCTCCACACTAGCACTCCGTCGTTGGTGTATGCAACGTTATAAATAAAACTAATACTCCTTCCCACTTCACTGGCGTTGACTTTACAGTACGTACGTTGTGGACCGCTCACTGTCACGCTGACTCCAGCCATTGTGCCAGATGATTCATGGCTGTCATCATTTGCGATGCTATCACGGTGTCATGGCCAGCATTGAGATATATTCTCATTCGACTTTTTATTGTGGCGGCCTTACAGGTACATGACCCTTTTCCACCTTAAGGGTCTGAAAACTTAACGCGCTTCGGGTTGATTCCATGCTTAGTCAAGTGCTTCTATAGATACTCCGTCAGGCGTGAGCGGCTACGCTAAACCACCCTCTCAATAGGCCGTTTTCGATATATCAAATTCTAACATCGCTCCGAGGCTTGGGGGAATAAAACAAAATAAATAAATTATTCATCCATCAACTTCGATGTGATTTCCTTTGTTTTATTCCCCCAAGCCTCGGCGCCAAGTTTGAATTTTAATATATAAAAAATTACCTATTTCATTTGATAATTTTGCATGTCGTTGATCTAAAAATAACGAACGACCAAAGAAAAGCAAGAGAGCCGGAAGGTTCAAAACTTATCAAGAGTTTAATACAGTTTTTGTAGCAGGCAGTGGTTTTAATCACCGAACTAAGTTGATCTTTTTCTCTTTTTATCCTAAACTGAGCTTTACCCACCTAAACAATAGTTATTGAAAAAACAAACAAACCAACAAACAAAAATATACTCAACAAGAATTGGGGTTAGATAATTATTTGCTCCTGTTTCGTATAATTAAATCTCAACCTAAGTTCTCGAAGCTACGTGTTTCACAGTCCAACGTTCCATTTTCAAGTTGTCCCTTTCAGTAGGACCTCATTTTGAATTAATGTTAGCATTATTCTGCACGTACACCAGAAACATGTTTCTGAACTAGCAACATTCCGCTTACATTTGGTCGGTTGAATACTAATATTTAAGCGAAGCTCTCCTACGTGAAAAATTAAATACAAAGACGGTTATAAAGGACAAAAAGCAAGAATCAGTATTACAAAAAAAACAAGTGGTAGCCATATTCATTCAAATGGTATTGTTGAAATAGAAAATACTTATAATAAATGGGTTCCATTAGATATTATACATGTTGTAAGATTACAATCGGATATTTCATGATTGTTTTGGTTATTCTGTCAGAGGATTAGGCATGACTAATACATTTGAATTTTTCCATGAGTACAGTCAATAAATTCACAGATGATCATAATTGCACAGTTGTTTCATTTTCTGATAAAGATTTTCACAACATCATGAAAAAAACTTGGGAGGTAAACCTACATCTTGATTCTGACGAACAATGTTACTCATCATGTGTTGGTATTGATATTGCTTCATTAAAAAAAAGTGAATATAGTGTGGTTTTTAACTCGTGAATTGCGCGCATGCGCAAGAGCGAGTTATAGATACGATGTGGGGAATAGCATTCGCTCGCTCGCTCGCTCGCTCGATTGGTCGATTCCTGTAAACTTTTTTTCGATTTTAGGCTTTTGAGTGCATTTGATAGTTTTTGGCGAGCAATAAACAAACGAAATGGCGACCTTTGTTGCTAAGAATAGTGGTGGGGTGAAAAAGAAGCCAATGATAATCTTAAAAGAGTGTTTTTTTTCGTTTTAGTTTCAACAAGCGGCGCCAGCGACTAGCAGGCATGCTAGGATTCACACTGAAATAACAGAACAACCTTCGTTTTTCATAAAATTGTAATTCACAGTCCTTGAACTTGAAAACAATCCAAAGATTCATTGAAAATATCACTTACTGCAAAGCGCACGGAGTTTACAGATGTTCAAAAGCTTTTCTTGTTATGGCGTGAGATTGAGGACAAAATCGATCATTACGTTTCGTATCGTGTGTTTTTCCTGTGTGAAGCAATAGAAGATGCCGACGACTGACGAAATTACAAGTAAACACGAAAATCAAATAACGCCTAAACAAACAATTTTAGCTACCGATTTTCAGTGAATTTTTAAAGAACAATTTTCTTTTAAGGTTCAAGACAATTTGAAGATTCAAAATACGTATTACGTGCTAAAATGCGAAAGTTATACACCACAAAATTGATAAATAGGCCTGAAATGAAATTCTATCTGGTTATTGATTATACGTTGCCTAGCACGTGACTAAAATCTACCCAGGCGGAGATCCAAAATGACGGTGGCAGTCTTGGCTTAGTTATATCACTCAAAACTCGTTCCCGTTTGTCTCATTTGATAAAGAGGGAATCGTTAATGTTTTCATTAAGACAGTATTGCCTTGATTTTCTAATTTTTACAATGATAGACAGTAAATTTCACTTTTCACCCACATTTACTTCCAACCTTTTCTTTTAAACCAAAAACAAAAATGATATACGTTTAAAACACATGATATCATTCACCCTTGTCAAATGTAATAGCATGATCATTTCAATTTCAATTACTTTGTTTCTTTACTACATTAGCGAACACTGAACTACTGCTTGTACTCTAGATACGACAATCAACCACAAAATTCTCTAAACCAGATAACATTTAACATAATCCAAAAAATCATGTGTCAATTCACGAGTTTGCTCATGGAGCACTTTGATTTGAATTGTTTTGGGACAGTTCTGATATTGACTATAAATCTGTTGAGACTTGTTTCAAGTCAAAATAACACCATTGAAAGATACGTACTAAACAGATTTGACAATCATATCAGAACCATAGCACATGTTACTAAAGAAAGCTCTGAATCATCTGACTATCTCATGTTTGTTATTGATATGAGAAATAAAATTGATATCACAGGACTTATTGGTTTATGTTGTTATGGTTTCAAGGGTCCTTGTAATGATATTTCAACCAGTATTTCGGATGTAGTGTATTCAATTGATAACAAGACAGTCAAATTTGATGAAAAGTTGAGATGGGAGGAGAACTAATCGTGAAACATGCCTTCAATGATCAAAATCCAGTCACAAAAAAAAGTATTTGATGATACAACAAAAAAATTTTTTTACAGAAGTAAGGTGGCCCATAATAATGCAAATGATATGAAGTTCTGTGTTAATGGAACAATAAATCATAGCATTAATGGGACACAGTCAGATGAAAGTCATTTCACTTGTGAATCTCCAAATAATACTAAATTAAAATAAAAATTACAGGTATGTATTTATTGAGTGTTTTCGATGGTTTCAGAAGCACACTAACCAGTTTCGTTATATTAGAATTAAGCATTGCTTTCCTCATCAATAATGATTATATTAAAAAAAAACTTCTGAATACCTATAACAGTTCGAAGTGTTGTCATTTTGCCACGATATATATCGGAGAAGAAAACAAAAGTATATCACCTTTCACAGATACATCTTCAACAATATTTGATGGATTAAGCAATAGTTATATAGTTATCATCAAACTTGGTTAAAACAAGGGGCTACACGGAGCCTATATTCTGGCTGGATTTGCGGTTCAGCGGGAATGAATTGAAGGCCTTGCGGTTTTTAGCAAAATCACTGTTGAGTGCTTTTCATTGTTTACTTACCATGGAGAGTTATAGCGATAAAGACCGGCTTTGGAACAAGTTGATGCCATGACAAATTGGAAACACTAAAACCGTTAGACGAAATGCGGGGACTAACGTAACTGCCGCGGCAAAGTCAACAGAAAAGGAATATGTCACTTTGTGACTTAGCTTTAGTCACAGAGAAATCCAGAATGGTGGTAAATATCCAACTACGCAGACCTCGGCTTTTTTTCAAAACCAGTCACCTCACCTCACCTTACTACACTCGGTGCCAAAACTCAACCTCGTTCCCAGGCTATGTTCACCACATTGCTTTACGCCAATTAAAAACTGCTGCGTAGCGCTTATTGTGCATCTTCCTAGGGAGGAAAACCAAACCGAATTTTCTGATTCTGGCCCGTTTACGGCGAAAATAATAAATATCGAATAATACATGGACGTGCGTAGATATGGAAATTCTCTTCGAGTGTTTAACTCGATAGCTCACGAGTGAGCGCAGCGAACGAGTGAGATGTCGAGTCGAACACGTGAGGAGAAGTTCCATATATTCAAGCAACCAAGTATTATTTTGTTTATCAGATAAACACAATAGCCCTTTACTGTGAAGAAGAGCCGACTTCAGTAATGAATGAAAAGAAATTAATCGACAATCGTAGAGTGCGTTGGCGCTAACTCTTAAAATGGAAAAATGCGTTCAATCATGATTACAAAAACAACAATGGTCGTAATTTTCAATTTACAAACTTCTCATACATTGATTTTGTCTTTATCGACAGAAGAAGTCTTTCTGGTAAACGGCCAAATTCGGCCTGTGGCAAATCTTCCAGTTGTCGATATTCATTCACAGCCGAGAGAAGTGTCAACACCAACGCCACTGAATTCGTAACTTTCGGTTTTTCTTTATGTAGATTGGTTTTCTTCCCTTACTAGCAAAGTTTGAACCTCACTTTCTGTCAGCGACACGGATTTTTAAGTGTTTTAGCCGCCATAATTCGAGAAAGTTCCGACAAACCATTTGTAATGAGAATCGTGATGGCTTTGCTGTTCGTTCATCAACCTGACCAAGGCGAGTGACGTATCAGCAGCTGATTGGCTATATCAAAACAAGTGAAAAATTACGATATTTTTCACGTGTGTTGTTACGGCTTTTCTCAGAGCTGGAAATTCCTGTATATGATAATATAACTGACATATATATATATATAGGAAGTCTGCAGGTCGATTTTCGCGTGGAACAGTGCTCAATACGTTGAAGTAGAGCAGAATAAATATTATGAGAGGAAAAAACGACGCAACTACATATCCCGGCAAGCCTGTTTCGTGAATCGCTTCACTCTTCAGGGGTTTAATTAAAATAAAAAAAATATTCTCAGGAAGAAGATCGAACTATGCGCTTTGCTTCCACAGGTAATGAAAAAGTTCTCATGGATTTAAGGTGTTTCATGAGAGGTAAATCATACGACGATCAAGATTCTTTATCTCAGTTAAAAGTACTTGATGATATTATCATTGACATATACCCTCTTGTTAAGAAGTTTGATGATAGTTGCTCTCAAAAATTTACCTCTGAATAATTTTTTTGATATCTCTTCCAATTACGTTCATTATTTTAGACCACCATTGGTCATGAAAAGCGAGTTTTTTATTTTGTTGTTATAATACTTTCAAACTCGATATTCATCATTTCGAATATCTTTTTCATGATTAAATTAATGATGATCATTCCCTTTAGATCTTTATTAATTTTTTTAGTAATAATTTTACCGATAAATTCAAATATTTCCAGTACTTTCTGTCTATTTTTTTATAGTCAATTGACACTTTTTGGTAACGGTAAATATAACTTTCATAATATGAAATTTTTTAACGTAAACAGACTTCCTCACAAATGTATACATATTCTCATGAAAATCAATAAATTCTGTTTCTGGTTCACATTGACCACATTTTACCTTCTTCGTCTTTTTTTATTTTCACATTTGGACAACATTTTTCAATTTCAGCAACTCTTTTCTTTTATCTGTTTATCACAGAATGGGCATATTAATTCATCCAATTCATTCTTTATTATTACATGTGATATTTTTAAAAAAAAATGTTACCATCCCGTATTTCAGGGAAAACTCTCGTTTCCATAAGAATTCACATGGCGTGACTTTACCACACACTATATTTTTCACCTGGCGATATCATCCATTGTCCACCAGCATATAACAAGTAGATAGTAGATGGAACGTGCGAGTCCATTTCAAGAAAATGGTCTTGTAGCGCCATCTAATATACTACCATCGTTTTGAAGTGATTTAAAGTTTTTTAAGAATGATAAATTTAACTGCGTAGTTGTCCGGTTGAAATTTGATAGTGAATGGAATGCGATAAGTATTTTGCCTCTCAGCCTTTTGTAGAGCTGTCTGTCGATCAATTTGCTAGGCGCAGTGGTGGCCCGACAGAACGACAAAAACAGGATAGTCACGATTATCTAAAAACTAGCACATAGCCTCTGATTTTTGTATCGATGATACTAAATTACCCCGATGTAACCGCTTCCTACTTCTTTTTCTATTTTCATTTTTGTTTTCAAATTGCTTCTATCCCTTATAGATACTCTCAACTGACAAAATACTACGGAAGTAAAACAATCCATTGCCATATGACCGTTGTCCGTCACCGCGACAAACAACAACAACAACAAAATTAACTCCTTCAGTATCTTACATAGCCCAGATTGAGAAACTTATGCAAGATATCTTAAAGGGACAAGGCTAAAGTAACGGCTTCTCCTGAATCCAGACTTCCTCCCACCTTGAAAAAGAAGAAAAGTTGAGTGATCGTTAACCTTATTGTTTCGAACGCAAAGTCAATGAGAATACCTTGTTGATGTACTCAAGACTACAAAAGAAACGGATCAATATCAGTATCTGGGCAACTGCTCACCTACCCCTCCCCTAACCCAACATAAACCCTAACTTGTTATCAATTGACTGTTGTTGAGTTAGGGGAGGGGTAGGTAGGCAGTTTCCCAGATACTAATATTGATCCACATGGGATCAAGTTTGTTTGATCGATATGTACTGCTTCATTGATATTCTCAAAGGCTTTTCTGTATAGATACTCATTTAGGGAAGGCTTGTTTTGCACCTCGAATGTGTCCACTTTTCCTTGAAATTCCACCGCGAGATCTTCTTACGACGTAGAGTATTATTTTCATGGAAATCATCTTTTATGTTTTCCTTGTCACTTATTCATTTATTAATTTTTTTTATATAAAAACTATAATTCTAATGAAAGGTTTCTGTAGTGTAGAGCTCGTAGCGGGTTTAAGTTCTCAAGGTATAAACATATCTGGTGGGAGGTGGAGATTTATTGACTTCACGCACTCATCTTTGTATCTAATTGATTATCTTTTATTCTTGGGGTACGGTACTTGAAAACGTAAAAACTGACAGGTAATTTACGGCATAACATATTATTAAGAACGATTAGAAACTATACATAACATGCGCTATCGTTCAACTACTCGAGAACAGCTTTTTCGTCTAGTAATTTGATGTGGCCTTGTAAATCTTTGTATCCCGATTATTTTCTGGGATTCACACCACAGAAAGCTCAGACGAAATAAAAAATTCCGTGCACGTGTTGGCGAAGAATCGCAAAATTTACTCGTATGGAGTAAATTCAACACAATTCTGCGAAACCCTGTCATTTGTTCTGTCTATGCGAAATCGTTCTCTCCACGTCTTCGACGTCTCTCTGCTGTCTTTGAATACGTTGAAAAGTGATACTTAGACTCTTGAATTACAATTAGACATGAACTTATAATGAAACGTTCGAGCGTGCGTAACTCGCGTGTTACCCTTACAGCCCAGCAACAACTTCAGCTAGTCAGCAACAGGAGTTAGAGACAAATAAATGACAGAAACAACCAAGCCTGTTCCCACGACACCCTCCTCGATTCTGCAAGACATTTCAGACATGGCGTAGATACCACTTAAGTGCCATTAAAACAGAGTACATGCAAGTTTCTGAGGTGTAGTGGTTATCACGTCCGCCTAACACACGGAAGGTCGCAGGTTGGAGCCCTGCCAGAAACAAATTTTGTCACAATCGTCTACACCATACGAAATCCAAGTTTCATTATTCAAGGCTGGCCATCAGGACTCTAACGAGACTTGCAGGGCTATTTTACTACACGACGGACAGCCGATCCAACAAAAACAAGTACGTTGACCCTCTCTTTTTTAAGAAAAAGACCGACATCAAACAAGCTGAAATTTACGCATTTTTCGTGCTCTCCGAACTTCTCGCGTGCATCCATAACTCGATATACGCACGCTAAGCATGAACAAATGTTTGCTCGTGGATATGCGAAACATAGGAACGAGTGATTAGGGTATTTGATATGCAAATTGCGGCGTTAGTACGGCCTCGAGAGTCTGGGAAGGGCATTGACGTCGTTATAGGGTTCTCCTGGCACACTATCTGATGGCAATACATCCGTATTCAACGAACCAGATCCCCCGTCCTTAGTGCCAGTAATCAGCAAGAAAAACGTAAAGAAAGATGTTTTGAAACAGTTTCAAACTATGTTCTTGGACATTGGTGTGGTTTTGCAGATAAAGGAGGTTGGCGGGCGCTCTTAGATAAATGCACTTGAACAGTAATCGAGAAGGGAACAGAAAACGTCCAAGCACTATGAAACAAAGAGGAATGCAAGTGAGGACGCGCTATGAAGCGAAGACATATTTTACGGACAAGCCTTGGATCGTTTTATTTAATGTAGACGACGTATCCAGGTACTTATCGTAAACTGACTTATGAAAATTGCAAGGAAGAAACCAAGCTAATTTCTAACGCACAAACTAACATTCTAAACATTCCAATTCAAAGATACAAGTTATACCAATATCTAAGAAAAAGACAACGAGAACTACATCTTCCAAAAGATAAATGAGCACTGCTTGAGAACGAACTCTAACATAAACTAATAGCCAAGTGAGTAAATCATTTAGCTTTCTAACGTAACATGAACTACGTAAGCCAAGTGTCACAAGGTTGTGAAAATATATGATGAAAAAACTAGCGTAAAACTGGGTGAAGCTACTTTACGAAACAGTCCCTCTTGTAAGAGTTTAGCCAAACTGACGTCACGATAAGGTGGGCAAAACACCTTCACGATAAACACGACTTATCATGTCAGTTTTACTGGAAAGAATTGCATTTAATGTAATTAAATAAAAGATGTGCGCGTTGGTGGTGATAAGTTATAGGAGTATGTCCAGCATTCGTCATCATTTCATTACTGATTTTATCATCTGTAATGATAGAATATTATCATTTATTTGATGTTATAGTTACTTCCGTGGATCCCTTCAGCGATAATTCCTTATCTTCATTGTGTTTCTCCACCACAGATCTAAAAACCAGTATCTCTCTACCAAAATATTAATATCAACAAGTGTTCGCATTGATCTAAGGCTTGTTAAGATTTTCGCTCTTTCTCTTGATGTAGACAAGACGAAAACATCGATTTTCAGAAAGAAACGTCTTAGCTTGAGGATGGACAGAAATGTGTATTTCCAAATTGCTAGGTTTAGAACTTGATAGTGAACTGTGGTTCTTTCTCCACGTTGAAAATAATTGTAAAAACTTTCTCAGTACATTGGCTGAAAATTTAAAATAGAAATAAACAGAACTCTGAACTGGATTGATTCAGAGGCCTCGATGACTATCATGTGCTATATTCTTTCTTATATACCTGGTTTCCTACCCATGATGCAGTGGCTTGAGAAAAAGAAGAAGGATAACATATCCAGACATATGGGGATTAGTCAGAGAATGTAAATTCATTTTTCAATCGACATATTTTTGGCCGTCACAATAGCTCTCTGATGACTCTAGCATCTCACGCACAATTCAAATAGAAATTGCAATACATAGTCAATAATAAGTCGTGGGTAATCAGTCATACATAATTAATGTGAAATTAATCATCAACGCGAGTAAAGAAATTCTTCCTCAATTCGCTCCGGACCACGAAATCAAGCCATGCATGAGTATGCCGGATTACTTCAGTCGCTAATTGCAGTCGAATGAAATTGAAAAAACCAAAACAAAAAAAAATGCGAGCATATAGTACCATTGACAGATATAAATAATTTCCCCTTATCCACAACGGTCTTGATAACAACTAGTCTACTCTGGTGGTATCAGGCGAACATTTAATAGTTTTTTAGTACATATGATCTTTGTGCTATTGTTGTTGTTAAAGTTAATTTAAAAAGAAAAATGATTACGGAGAGGCTGTATTTGGTCCATGGTCGATGGCAACTTTTATCGAAACGATGCCCCTTTTTGGCTACCCTTCGTACGAGGAAACTGGCACCAAAGAAATTTTCATTCAATTTTCTCCAACACCTCTTAATAAAATTTTCACTTCGCTGTTTCTCGCATGTTATTCTTGGAGGGGAGGGATATTTTTGCGTTGTAGAGGGGGGAGAGAAGGGGTTCAAATTTTTCTTGACTGAGTACTTTTTCAAACCAATGTGTTGTGCGTGATATTTTTGCAAAATTACAATAAAATATTTATTTAATTTTAATTTCTCACTGACCACCCCCGACATGTACCTACACCCACGAACCACGGCCATTAGTCAAACTCGACCATGGTTTGTCGCACTATTTTAAAGCACCTAAGAGCGGTGTTAGTACTCAGGGCTTTAATCGAAAGCGATATGGGAAAACACGACACAAAGTAAAAATGGGGAAACACCGAAAGGTGTATCAGATTTCCTATATTTATTCAGTGCCATCGTCGGCTACTACGTGTCTTACATTCATAGATTGACGGGAGTAAGACAAAGGCCAAAGATATATCTTTGTCTTCAGATCTATTCCAGTACTGTAGTCAGTGGGTTTCAATGGCTTTTATAAGCTCTAGGCTCAATAAGAAAGTTACTATAACATTTCAAGATATTTCATTTTGTATTTATTTCATAAGATATAGTGACTAACCTTAGTGAATTTCAATGAACCAATCTAGTCTTAAGGTTAGTTATTGAGTGATCTGTGTATCAAAACAAAGGTGACTGTAAAGCACTTAAGCTCAAAGGAAATGGAGCTTGGCGACGGGAAGACTGACAAATCAAAAAGACTTTAATCCCAACGCACGCAGATCACCAGGCAACCATAAACAATTTTTATTTTCCACATTATTCCAGCAAAACGTTTTCGGGTAAATCAAATGGACAGAGTGGATTCGTTTTAAAAATTAGATGTATGTGTAAAGTGTGACTTTCCAACTTTAGCCTGAGGAAAGATAAGCTGAATATTCGATGAACCAAGATACACCTACGTAAATTTTAAGTTTGTAAATAGAGCAGGGTCCAACAGCTGTGTGAAGCCTGTTTTCGCCTTATCATTGGCAATAGTGTTAAAGGGAGAAAGCACCGTCTAAGCGATCAAGAACTGAAAGTCGTGCAAAAATGGAACAAAAATCTTTGATGGTAAATAGTTTCTTGTCTTTTATAAGACTCCTAGAGTAATCTACCATTGTTTTTATGTGCCAGCAGGATTAAAAGCTAATAAGTAATACATACATCAAGTTCTTCGCGAATTAGTTTACGCGTTCTTCACCAAATGCGGATAGCAGCCTAGTGGTGCTTAGCATTTCAGATCAATGAAGTTTTTGCTATAGTGCGACTTTCTTATGACGCTTGTTTTGCAATGCTGTCAGCTGGAAAATTCATCGTTTTCTGTCAAACGACATATTCTAGTAAGTTTCAACGATCGTCTTTGACATAACAATCTTAACCAAATCGAAAACGTGAAGTAAACAAACTGGCTGGTGTTCCCGTAAAGCCCGCAGCAGCTCAGTTTTACTCGAAAACTTGTGTTTGTCAGGAGTCAGGCGAGAAAATAAAAACATCAGTCTTACTCTCGAAAGACGATAATCTTTGTATAGTGAAAGAAGGCGATCACGAGACGAGGCTAATTACAGCTTGAGACTAGTTTTCAGGTATAAACACCGGGCTGAGAGAATAAAGGAAATTTTAAATCTGTTAAAATCAAATAACTATAGTTTTTTTGAAGTTTCCACTTAGGTGACTAGAGGAATACTTGATTTTATATTTCGACTTCGGTTCAATGCCATTAACAAACTTCCAGGTGGAAGAGGTGTTTTCGTCTTACTTTATTCGTCTACATTAGAATTAAGACATCGTTATTAAAAAGAAAAAAAAAATTTAAATTTAGGTTATTCACATATTTACTAATAACGATTTAGTAAGGAAAAGACAAGATCTTTGACTCATTTGAATTTTCATTCCCCTTTTACCATCTATTGTCATTCGCCATAAGTTTTAAGATCTTGATTATCATGATGACCTTTCTTTCTATTTATCTTTCTCAGATCTAGAACCCTACCAAGGAAGCGGATCCTTTCAAGTGGGCTGGTAACGTGCCACATTTGAACCTGGTGTATGTTGTTTAGCTTTGTAGCACCCACTCTCTTGGTAAGAATGGACGCCCACGTTTTGAGTTGTTTCAGAATGATATGATGTCTTTCCTTAATCGAGGACTGACCGTGTATTCTTCTGATATTCCTCTGATGCAACCTTATGAGTCAGTTTACACAGGCAGAGCGTAATCGTAATTATTAGAATTCAACACTTTAATCTGATCTAAATCTTTGGCCAAATGTTGGTTGCATCGCTGAAGAATTGGCTGTGACAATATTTAAACACCTGGAGATTGAAGATTTTCTCCTTACATTACCTTATCTTCTAATGAACGCAATAGACAGCAAATATGTTTGTTTTTTTAATCTATTTGAGGAAGAGCTTAAGGGTAAGTCTGTCTAAAATGTATGAATACATTATATACACAAGAATAACTTTGATGACGATCAGGTTGCACAGCAGAGGCTGCAAGATTCGGTAGTGATATGATCACCAATCATTTCACCAATCTTTATTCAGTGGGTGTTCTTTGAGTTCTCCCAGCCTCTTTTTTTTAACAGTGACCGTCTTTACGATTACTAAAAATGAATTTTAATCATCGAGGCTCAGAAACCGTTATTTCTGACCCGCATTTCTATTATACATTTTTCCTAAGGACATTCTAATTTTGAGAACCTGTCAATTATTTCCTTTTGGAATTTTGTAAACCACTATAAGAGTTTGAATTTATAGCAGATGAATCTACTAGCAGCCAACAGTGACAGATGAGTTTTGAAATAAATAAGAATGCCTAAAATGTGTATCTGCTACGCTCAAAAATAATCATACGCTGCTTTGAAGATGGTTCGGCAACTATGGCGTGCTACTCTTAAATCAGACAATAAACGAGGCTGGGTAGCCGTAGAGGAGACAGCACTATCATTGCACCTCGGGGAACAAGTGGAATTTCTACGAAATTATGATTCACAGTCCATTTGAGCGGTAATATGGCTTGTCTTGATGGCGACAATTAGGGTTTTATTCCTTAATTAAGATGATATACATTGTCGAATTGCTTAACAAAGCAAATATAAAATTTAGCGTGAACTTTGAATAGATGTGCATCTATTGGTACACCTGTAATTACTTTTACTTAAATATCTGGCTGACTTACTGATTTCGCCTGAAATTTGAGACTATAGTAAATGCGGTACTATTTCGACTTAGCAACTATGCTCAACACTTGTTATATACCCTCTATAATGTGCAATAATTTTCATTTATAGGAATTTTGTTCAACCATTTTGCTCACCACCGCACATTTTCAATTTGGTGCTTAACTGAAGAAAAGAAACCAGTATATGGAGGACTATAACACGATGAACAATTCAAGTAACATATCTCTTCAACACCCTACAGCGTTCCATCAACCGAAATATAAATTGGCCTCACAACTTGTTCCTATTGCCGTTTCAATCATCATAGCGAATGGAGTCGTGTTTTATCTTTTCGGCAAAATGAGGAGTCTGCGCACTCCTGCAAATTATTTCTTGCTGAGCCTTGCTATAAGCGACATCATGACGGGGCTGATAAATATTCCATTGCTCCTGGTTTTGGTTCATCTGTCTCCGCTTAGTCCGTCGTTTTCTGTGATTTACTGCACCTCAGAAGTCTTCCATTACGTGATTTCAATTTCGATAGCTTACCACATCACTGCTATTACTATGGACAAATATCTCGCCGTTGTCAACCCCTTTGGACGTTTCTTGATGAGCAAGAAAACAGTGAGGAAGGCATTATCATCCGTATGGCTTTGCTCAGCGTTCTTGGGGTCAGTACCTGCAACTTGGTGGGATTCATGGCTCGCATTGGACTCTTTCGCTTTATATTTACAAGCTGGACACATTATTTTCTGTCTTTGCGTAGTGTTTTTTGTTCCGTATATGTTTATCCTTTATGCCTACGGCGTTATGTTCAAAGCAGTATCTATGAAGCGGTCGTCAAAAGAATCATCTGTCCAGAAAGATTCCCGTGCATTTAAGAGAGCTAACAACGAAAGGAAATGCCTCATAATTCTGCTCGTAATGGCGACTGCTTTTGCGATTTGTTGGATACCCTGGTTCACTTTAAGATTAATCATCGCTGTCTCCACGACTGGATGGATAGAAATCAAAGATCAGGCTTCTTTTTTAGAAGCATCCCAAATGTTTGTCATCGTCAGATATATCAGCTCTGCCGTTAATCCTTTATTGTACACATTCTTCAAACAAGACTTTTGGAGTGCTTTTAAAATTGTCACATTGAAAAGGAATTCCCGAATTCCATCCATGACTCCATCAATCAGACTAACAATAACACAAAGATATCGAGGCGCAGGGAAACACGAGAATCATCTAGTAAGGGACAGCATTGACGAAATTCAACAATCAGCCGTCTAAACTGGAACCTGAGTTGTATTCATCAAGGTAGTAATGAAAACTGGGCACCACCATGAATATTATCCTCCAAATTAATATCACCAAGCTTCTCTCCACAAAGAAGTTTAAATGGATACAGGAAAAGTGTAAGGGTCATACGACGTAATGCAGAAAGCAACCAAAACTTCTATCACATCATGTTACTGAAAAGAGGAAGAGTCCCGGATTTGACCAAGAATTATTTGTTTGCACGATACTGATCTGTATTTCACTTGTAAAAATCTGGAACGAAGAAATTAAGTCAAAATTGTGCCAGTTTTAAGAGTGTTTTGAGAAAAAATGTTGTGCGTGCGCATTCTCAAAAGAAAGCATGGAAACTCTGGAAAACAATATATCACTTTATAATAAATTTCAGATATAACACACACTGCAATTGTTTGATAGAGCGTGCTGTATCAGAGTACAGAGCCCGGAGCTTCTCTCTGGCTTATTTTCGCTAATTGAAAATGAACTTTTGGAACTAGCCAGCCGGCAAGTAATGACAGAAGAACCAAGCAAAGGTTTGTAAACATGACAAGCGCCGTAACTGACACTATTTGAATGATCTAGCAGGAGGACGGGAACGTCAGTTGATAACGGCACGCGCAGCAAAAATATTGGAAAGAAACTGGGTCGAGAACGTCGCCCCGTTGTCTCAGAAGTGACGTAGCAGTCGTTGCAACGAGGCGTCAACGTCAAGTTATACTGATTCTTGAATATCCAAACCTCGGCTCTATAAAGTTCACCATCAACCTTTGAATTTTCAGTTTCATAGACCACTCTAAGGAAAACGAAATTATCTTCTTTGAGAGTTATGCAACAAGCGCAAACAGAGGATAGTTATAGCTACGGTAAGTAGGTTGTTAATATGAATCCACGTGGGCGATTAAATTTGAAATTGTTCCATTCCAGTGAAGTCTCGGGTCTGTTGATAGCGTAAGCAGAGACGAATAGCGTGCATGCTGTAAAATTGCGTCGGTCTTGACTTTCTCCGATGCTTTTTTCACGTAAATTATTATCAATTAACAAAACGATCTCTCTATCATAAAAAATAGCACAATCTGCCGAGCTTGTCTTTTCACAAAATTTCAATTTCAGGGATTGGTTTCGACTCGCAAATTTAGATCACCAATTTAGTAGCCCAAAGCAGATAAATTTTTCTGACAGTTTTTTTCAAGTAAATTTTTTCTCCGTTTGACATCTACTTTTCCGCTACCATTATGACCTGAAGTATACACCTTTTAATGTCGGCTCAGCGAAACTAGCTACAGAAAGTTAGAGGAGCATGGAAATATAGGGGTTTCTGCCATGTTCAGAACAGATTCGCACTCACTAGAAGAAAGCCGTGATGATAGGGGGCTTTCCTCATGTTCTGTGCTGTCCTAACTCTTCGAATCCTCGTTTTACGGCTTTTGAAAATCCTTGGAAGGTATCATTAGCCGGTGTTTCGCGATTGCTTGTTTCACATTACTTTTTTTTACCAAGTACCAAACTCTTCTTTTGTTATTTCAGTTTTGTGTTTAATAGAATCGCTTTCGTACGTCGAAATTGGCCTTATGGTCGTTCATTTACTTGTTCTTTGCAATATTCGTTGGCTCAGAAGTTGACTCGCTGTTGAAAACTATCCCTAATATGACTAATATGGTTGTGGCTGTTTGGTTTCCAGCACGACCGTTTTAAATTTTTTTAGGTTCCTTTGGAGATTTTCGTTTCTGTTTGTTCCTCCCAACAAGTATAGACGGAAAACATCCCTTTGTGATGTTTTTTATTAATTTTGCAATCTCGCCAAAAGTCCTCTCTGATACAACTGATGCCTTTGTAAGCGGCGGATCCCCTCGAACTTTCACAATTTCGGTAAACTGAGAGATCAATTGTTACTTACACTACTTACGATAATTTCTAAGTAATGTATATAGAATTAAAGGATGCAAATAGTTTGATTCTTTACTCTTTTTTTGAGTAGCGTGTAGTTATAATGATACTGTAATAAAAAAGAAAGTTAAAAAAATGGTTTTGTTTGAAAAAAGCTAAAGGCTGCAATAAAGTGAGTAACTGGTTGAAACCTCAACTTAAAACCAGTCTGTTCACCTCAAGTTATGATTTATTGACTTTTATATTTGGCTATGTCGTCTCCTTCGTCTGCTGTTATGTCCGAAATATTTTCAAGGTCTCCCTTGTAGGGGACTTTAATAATAGTTTGTTGAACAAATCATTGGAAATTTGGTTTCGGGATGGCTCTTCTCAAAACTGGTTTTATATTCGTCTGCGTTAACCTGGTAGTGAGCTCTTAAGTTCATTCCGGTAACTGCACCCTCTCTCACCTTTCTTTCAGCTTTGCATATGTCGAATAGAAGCGTTCAGGCTGGCTGTAACAAACAACTGAAACTCCTGGATTCTGAATGACTTACGAAAGCGTTTGTTAAATTATAATAAAATTTTGTTCATTGGATTGTCATTATTTTATCATTTTATCTTTTCTTAACACTTAATTCTGCTTCATCTGATTTCACCAATTGATCCAATAGCTCATATCTAATTCTTACGAAAATTTTTAAATCTTAAAATCCGGAGATAGAACGATTGTCCGGTTAAGCACTAAAAGGGTCGATGGAGGGATGAAGGAGGACTTTCTTATTAAACATATCGACTCGCTGGCTAAAGTCTCATGAAATGAAACGTTGTTTCCCATCTAGGCCTTGCCGACATGTTTCTTTTCCATCTTTCCCGCATATAAGGCTTACAACTGATTACAGCTGAACTATTAAATTCTCATTGATTACTTTCATACCAGGCGAGCGGACTTATCTCCTCTTGTGTACACCCAAGTTGCACCGTGAGATAGTTGAGTACGCCTCCTTACATCAAGCCTGTTTTTATTCTTTACTCCCAGGATTTGCTCGAAAAACTGAGATACCTCTTCTTTCCCGAAAATTGCTTTGTAGCCTAAACTAAGTTGTTTGAGCAAACCTGCCTCGGTGTAGTCGTCCGCAAAAAGCGTATTGCTGCTCCGTTCCTCCACGTGTGTCCACACCGGCTGCAAAAACTCATTTTGAGTGTTTTCGGCCGATGTGGAGGTTAAGCTTTTCTATATTTCTGATCAAGATCTGCGGAAATTAACACAAGATTTGCATTATAAAAGTTAGAACATGTTTAAGGAATGAGTTAAATTAAAGATAAATCAGAGATAAAGATTTACAAAGAAAATAACATTAAAAGACAGAAAATTGAAGAAGAGAGGGCATCCCTAAGGTTCTGCCTTCTCCGTAAATAAAAGGAAGTTAGTAAAGGTGTTTACAGGTATAGCAACTTGGAGATAGAAACAGTTCATTAAGTCTTTTCATTCTCCGAAAGAAATTGTGGATTACTTAAATTTATAGATAGAAATTCTTCCCGAATCGTGAATTTGTCACAAGATGATATCGAAATATGAGCCAAGAACGATATAAAAAATACAAGAACTCAATTTACATGAAGTTCCTGCGCAGAAATTCACTTAATTAAACATAAACGAATGAGAAATTCGAAAAAGACAACTTAAAAAATAAAGGTTTTGTCTCTTGCACATACAAAATGTTATTCTGGTAAACATTATCAGCTGCTTCGTCTTTCTTTTTCGTTAACCCTTATTTCAAAGAAGCAAACACAAAATGAAATCCGTCGTCTTTTCTGGGGCTCTTCCTAAAATTCCTGATGACAATAACTCGATAATAACACCTTCATATCAGTGACAGCTCTATTAGCCCTGGATAATGTGCACAAGCCGCTAAGAAATGAGCAATATCCGTAGCAAGCTGACCGATTCTTCGCGATCATATCATGAAAACTTCCAATCAGCGCTGCACATCATTGGTTTTCCAAGTTATTTTTTCATCATAGTGATAGGTTTCTTCATATGACATGAGCACTACACGTCAAGACAAATAAAGAACATTAATACGTTTTTGTGCGTCTTTGGTTCCTTTGTCAAAGTCTTAATCTTATCCTAAAGGAAGCTTGCCAATAATTCAGTGACCCATAATTTCTATCTTAACCTGTAGATAACACAACAGGCTCTCCTTTTATCTTGAAGCAATTGGAAACATAATGAAACACCTGGAAAATCTTGGAGTGGAAGGGGGCCCATCCCTTACCTTGTTCTACGGTGGAGGTATCAATAAACAGGGATGGTGCAGTGGTGAGAACGCGCGCCTCCCATTGCTGTGGTCTGGGATCAGTTCCCAGACCTGGTTTCACATGTTGGTGGAAGTTGTTTTTGGTTCTTGTCCTTGCTCCTAGAGTTTTTTACCGGGTCCTCCGGTTTTCTCCCCTCCACAAAAACCAACGCTCTAAATTTCAATTTGACCTGGAAACAGCCGACGAGAAGAGCCACTTTGTGGATTGTACACTGCCGAATTCACATCATTTATTATTATTATTATTATTATTATTATTATTGTTGTTGCCAACGTTATTATCTCTTCTATCACAGTCTTTGCTGGTGTTCTTTTTGTGCATCAGCCGGGCGCAAACCATGCACCTTGGGCATCAGTCACCCAAGTCAATCATTCTGTTCATACACTAGGCACCTTTCTGAGGATTCGCGCAGATCCCAGCATGCAGATCTTTTGAATCTCTGTCACAGGAGCTGCTTCTGATGCTTTCTTTATGTTTTCCTCCATCCCCTTCTTTATTGTACCAAGCGCACCAACAAGCACAGGCATCACTACGGTTTCATATGCCACATTTTCTGTATTTCTAGTTTTAGGTCTTTTTACTTACTTTTCTTTTCCATATCCTTCAGAGCGATGTTTCTATCTGATGGAAGAGTCATATCAATCAGTTTGCTAGTGGAATTCACTGAATCTTTAATTACAATTTCTGGTCTGTTTGCTGTTATAGTTCTATCAGTATTGACCGGCATGTCCCATATGATGAGGATGTTGCTGTCTTTATTGTGCATCACAGTCTCTGGCTCATGTTGATACCATTTGTCTGTAATCTCGATATCATGATCTGACATCCAGATGCAATATGGTCCACTGTCTCTTCATGTTGCGAACAAATTCTGCATTTGCTCTCCACTTGCTGGCCACATATTACTTTCTGGTAGTTTCTAGTGTTTATTGCCTGGTCTTTAGCTGCGACAAGTAGTTCCTTTGGTTCTCCTTTCAGATTACTTGACAACCATTTGTTGGTGATGACTGCGTCTACCTGAGTCTTCTCTACAATCCTGGGATACTGGCCATGCAATGCTTTGTTTTTGCACTTTTCTTCTTTCATGGATTTCATCTTAGACTTGAGTCTGAGCATTTTCTGAGGCTGATTTATCTTCTCTGTTCTCCAACTCTGGCATTGCTGTACTTCCCTTTTGAACTTAGTAGCATTCTTGGTTATTGCATTTTTGGCTTCAGATCTTTCATATTCTAGCACCTGCTTTGGATATTGCCCTTCTTTGTCCCTCAGATGAGGATTGAGCTCTATTGTTATTGTTTTTAAAGGTGTTTCTACATCAATCAGGCCCCTTCCTCTATCTTTTCTTGGGATGTACAGCCTTTCTATATCTGCAATCTTCTTCAATTCGGAGATTTTCCAGTCAATGATGCCCAAAGTATAATTCTCAACTGGGACTGTAAGACTATAGATAACTTCTATCTTGTTTCTTCCATTGAGCCCAGTTCTGAGGATCAATCTTACTCTCAATTATCATTATTATTATCATTATTTTCATTATCATTATTATTCGACGTGTACGTCGGAGGGTTGATATACCTACAATAGACAGATTGTGTCTGAACCTGGTTCGGACACAACCAGCCATCACATTGGGGAAGGCCGATGAAATAATGACCATTGTGACTCGCCTCTTAGTAGTTGTGAATTCGAAAAACTTTCAGCTTTTCTCTATTCTTTATATAAACGTGTCTTGCGGCAAGTGACGTTTATATCAAGGATCGGGATATTAATGGTTATGAGATTCAAACAATAAAAGTACCACGAAAGGAAACAGAATGGACTAGATTTTGAGCAAACACGAGCTCCAATATTCCTGTGGTTTTCAGGCGAACTGCCACGTGACAGGCAGCAAGAGCGAAGCTATCCAGCAGAAGATTAGATTTCGAAGTGATTCAAACTTTTCTCTAATTCTTTCAAAACACAGAAAGAAAAATATTTCTAACTGCTTACCAATGACATGTTGGGGGCACGGGTCACATGCTTACACTTAATTATGACAACAGTCGTCTCAGAGATTGTGTCCTTGCTTCAGTTCGTAGAATTTGCACGACGATGAAGCCGCCAGACACGCACACAAGACAGTGTTATGGAAAAAAGAAAAACCGTTTTCACGCCATACACTCTGAAATTGGATCCCTTATATCATTACGCAGACGCGAGCTAAGATTAACCGAATTAGTTATGAAGAACCAATCAGATTGATAACAGCTTTCGTTTCTTCTACAAGCCTGGGATGATGAATACGGCGTAGGCGGCATCTTGCCAATCGTTAGGGTCCGATTATTATTTATAACTAATAGGGTTTTACTTCTTATTCGATGAAAGATAATTATCTTCACCTTATTTCATTTTCTTATTAAAAGCTGTGCTGAAACTGACAAGGGTGAAAACTCACCCGTATTGTTATGGGCTGATTTCGAACGCGATGGACAGTACTACGTTTGGAAATATCCTCCACCCACACCATTATGAAAAGGATTCTTTTATTGTTGAGCTGCCAACTCATCAGCTGGCGATGAATTTTTCATACGACTAGTGGGGACACACAATCAGAAATAAAGTAATTAGCACTCTCAATAAAATGGAAGGCATAAATTCCTTTTTATGACCACTGAAAAATTTTAATCGAAAATGAATCCGTCGTGGAAAACGCAGGAATAATTAAATCTTCAAGAGCAAACATGTATTATTGGTGGTTATTTTGCTCTATCGATTGAGTATATATGTAGCGGAAACTGTTCTGATCTGTGTTGAATAAATAAAAATGTTATGAGATCTTTTGAATTGTTTGTTCGGGAATATCTTAACAATTGTTGCCTTCGATATAGTTTCTTATCTAAAAGCCATGTAGCGAATGTCATTTAATATTGGATAAGCAGCAAGCCTTCCTTCTAACATGAAAAAAAAAAAAAAAAAACACTCAGATCACTGGATACAGTGAAACTCATGCAACTGATATTTGTGAAGAGAAAGAGATGCGTTTGGTGTGTTTTACTGCTTTTGTTTAGTTAGTCATAAAATATTAAATTTTAAGTGTAAAGATGATACAATATTTATTCGATCCCGTTGCCCTAATTACTACTTTAAAATAATTGGTTGATTTGCTGTATAAATATTTTATCTTTGTAACATCTGCCGGACAGAATGAGGCCTCTTCTAAGGATCGTACTCGATGAGGAAAGGTTTGCAATTTTTCTTTAATTTGATGACTACAAATGTTTTCTAAGGAGAGTACAAAGTAAGGGTATTTAATTTACCATCACTATCACCGATTTTAGGCCCGAGAGAAACCGTGGATTTGTTTTTTGAGCCATTTCTCCCTGAAATTGGACTTAGATTTAACTTATTTACATGTGCTGTAAGAAATTCCATAATGATAGAGAAGTAATAGGGATAGAGGAAGTAAACAAATAGACAATTTGCACGCAATAGTACGCACTAAAGTACTTGACTCGTAGAACAATGCTCCTATATGCCTGGATGAGTTGATAAAATCAAACCATTTCAAAAATTTCCAGGTTTTCACAGATGCAAATTTTGGAATATCTTGTATAGGAGGACACCCATGTACGAGGAGAACAGATGTTGAGGAAGTCAGTTTACATTAATCAACCGCCTTAAACCATGCTCTGAGTTTAGAAAGATATCTACAAAAACAAATTAGCGTTTATTGAAACGGAAAACGTTTAAAATTTTTGGAATATGAAATTTCAGATTACTGTCGGGTTGCGTAGAGTGATTTTAGGGGTTACGTGAAAGTGAACCAGGCGGAATCGCAAAAACAAGCTATGGAGCTCTTTCTTGGTCTCCCTAATAGAAAGCCCTGTTATGCAGAATAAATACAGATAAAATTTCAGAATTCGGAATATCCTAGCTTCAACATCCGCAAAAAAAATTATATACGTATTCGAAAGCAATGGGTTGTTTTTTTTGCTATAAATTATTTTTAAAACCGGTATTAATTATTTATAGGGGATATGCTTAGGCGTCGGAAGTTATTTAAACAATAAACCAACAGTTTACCGGCCAATAAACCGCGCAGGATGTTGGAAGAACACGAGGTGCAGTGGTTTAATTGCAGTCAAATCGATAGAAAGTGTCGTTTATTGCTTTTAGGACGTAAATACGAATGAAGTTTGTCAGAGAGAATGATAAATCTAATCACATTTAGTGATCAAGTCGCTGATTCTCATGAAACCCGTCAAAAAGTGTAATAACCAATCAAAGTGCCGGAATCTAAATGAACAGAAGAGCGAAGCAATTTATTTACGGCTAAATGAAAGTAATGGTCAGAGAAACTTGAAAGAAAACTAACGGAAAATAGCGATGTGCAAGATGAAGAATTCTTCAATTTGGACAAAGAAGACGCCATTTTATGGCCAGAATTGGCCCACCATTGCGATTGCGATCTGATAATCTTTGCCGAAAGTTTTTGAAGTTTGCAAGCCATGGAAGCAGTTTTAATACTTTCGCTTTATTAGCGGAATAAAGGTCGGTTCTAGATTTTAAACTGGTGAAATTAATGAAATTAAATTAATCATCACTAATCGCGGTACACTATTTTCCTTTGAGCAAATTTGTTTCTGTTGCCTCAGCTAAAGACTTGGCTCAGACTAAAGCTTTCATCGAGTCCACGTTAAAATTTACAGAAAGAGCCTAAAACGTCTGAACTTGACGAAAACTATCAAATGAAAGTTGAAATCGTGGACAGCAAACGGAATTGTCCTAAAATCTTGAGTGCACATTTACTTCCCAAGTGGTTTTTGTTGTCATGTGAGTAGGACCTTCAGTAATAAATATCCAAATGAGAATCCAGTTAGTTTGTCGCTACATTTTTCTTGAATCAAAAACATGCCAACTTTTCCTACTCGGCGAGCAGTGTGGATATAAACACTATATGCTATAACCAGTATAACCATGCAGCGAAAAGTAAGGGGTTTAAACAGAGCAACCAGAAAAAAAACTGCATTTTAAACAGAAAATTTGACAATGTTAGAAAAATAAAATCTTAGTAGTTGTTTATTGCTTTCAAAGTGTCCTCTTCGATTCTTCTAAATCAAAGGCCTTCAACAAATTAAAATCTGGAAATTCGCCCCGTGTGGCGCCATTTTACAGGACGGTAAGATAGTATATACTATAGATTTGTACTAACCAGAGCCCGCGTTGTGTCTAGCTACGTTACGTTATAAATACATATAAGTATTTAGAACACCTGCCTTGTGGTTTTACGAAACTGAGCTGATTGCACTTAAGCTCATATGAAAATAGATTAAAATAATGTTGTTCAGATGAAAAAGAAAGACACAATTTAAGGACTGCTGAGGTATGTTTCTTTGCTTTCGTAGAGAGAGATAACAGACTTGTTTTCTTTTCAGGGATATTTAGATCTTTGATCAAAACAAAAATAATCAACATAAAACAGATCGCTTCTTACTTCAGCTGAGATGACATCCTTTATTCTGTCTTGTTCGCTGTTCTTGATATCAGGTAAAAAGTTCCTAATTGTTTGTTATATGTGCATGAGCCATATTCTGAGAAGAAATTGAGATCGCGGCGGAAGTAGTCGAACAGTCCCTATCACTTGGTGACTGTACGACACAAGTTGTACCAAACAAAATCAAGTAGACCACTCGGCAAGGCTCCGCTTGGAAAAAGTCGTAATGTACTTCCAATATGAATTTCGTCTGACCAACAGGAAGGACTTTCCAGGAACTGATTTTTATAATCAACAGCCAAAGCATTAAGCTCATGCGCCTTTGCTATATATATATTTATTGAAGAGCTTCATAAGGGTGAAACACATATGTTAAATCCTCGTGTATTGAGAGGGTGATCAAAACAATTTCTTTTGTTTCAGTATTTGCTGTTACGGATGCAGAAACATGTGCCATCCAAAATATATCTACCTGGACAGGTATATTTCAGCCTCAAGACTATCCACAACCCTACAAACCAAACATGGACTGTTACTGGCTCGTGCAAGTGTCACAGGGAAATCGCATTGAATTAAACTTTCGAGATTTTGCGGTAAGAACGGTTATCGCTTCAAACTATGTATTTGATGTACCTTTCTGAAAGTTGTATTGTAAGCTATAACGTTCTTTTCTCTTCTCTTGTAGATGGACGCCGTTCCGGTAAGATCTTTTTTCCCTACCTTGAACTCTGATTACATCTGATATCTGAAACGCATTTCCATTACCAAGTGACTTAATCTTTTAACTCATGTAATGGCCCATGAATGATGAAATTGTAATCATCACGTCGAAATACTGCCGAAGCAATTCTTTTCCTACAATAATGCAGGTGTTTCACAAAGTAGATATTAAAATCGAGGAAAAAAAAAGAGAAAAAAAGTTTCCAATTTCTTATTACTAAACAGATTGAAGAAGCTGGAAATTGTCCAAATGACTATGTTGCGGTAATAGAAGGTTCCTTTGGAAGCACTGACGTTATAAGGCGCCTTTGTGGCAGTAATCAACTGCCATCTAATCAGTCAACTATTGTTTCTTCGAGTAACTCACTCCTTGTGCATATGCACACAGACAGCGTGAACGGGAACCGAGGGTTTGTAGCAGGACATGAAGGTAGGAATACTTTCTAGTTATGTCACGCTTTCGAGTGGTATTCCATGGAATATTCTCTAAAACAATTGTACTTTCTCAATATGCTTTCTTAATATGTAATATGTATACTGAGAACAAACCGTGCCATTATTCCATAGTATACAAGAACAAGCATCGCAAAACTACTTCAAACCATGCATCAGAAACACAGTGGGGGAACAAAATCAATTCAAGCTGCCTTCAGACCCATTTCAAATGACTTTGAACGCCTTGAAAGCGATTTTAACATTCTTTCGATGACTTTCAAAAGTTTAATTAATTAAATTTATGTCACAGAATACAAGACATACATTATAATTAAAGACATAATGGTCAAACGCTTTGATAAATCTGGAATAAAACTGCAGCATACAATGTGAAGGTAAAGTGTAACACAATGGAGTAAGCTTTCCTGTACTCTGATTGGCTTCATTTTCTACGCCATGGAATAAAAGGCAAATGTTAGGTCTCTGCGTTTTGATCATTAATTGCATCAATAAAATCCTTGTTAAATTAAGATTCGTTTTAGATAAACATACGCTTAATCGTTTGGGTCAAGATCTGAAATTACTTGTAATATTAGATCGAGAATCGATACGGTTGGACTACATTACTGCCAGTCAGGCGACGAAGATGAGCATTGCTGTTTATGTAAAATAACTATTAGTTAATCCTCCATGTTTCAGGAATTTCGATTCCGCTGTCTTTGTTGATGATATTGCCATGAATTCTTATTTTGATTACCTCTTGAACTTTACACTTGGATCAATGAGAGCGCACCAAAATGTATCAAACTATAAAACCATCATGCTATGGCGACGCGTAATCATTCAATCTCAAGTAAAGACATCTTTAGCCTCAATAAAGTTTTCATGTTTCGTCCAAGTTTGTTGATAAGGATAGAGTCAAGAAGGTGCAAGGCAATCCGGCCACTCTTTAAAAAATATATTTTAAATCGAACACTGGACTTCTTTTAAGCATATATCTATATTTCTCCAGGTATTTGCAAAGTGACTTTTTCGACGGTCAATGGAACCATTATGTCCCCAAATCATCCGCAAAACTATCCAAATGGTGTTAAATGCGAGTGGATTATAGACCTTGGTTCTGGATATGACATCACGCTTACATTTCACAAATTTGTGTTGGAAACAAAAGAAAATTGCGAATATGATTGGGTAAAAGTGCAGGAAGGAAACACCGCAGACGCACCAGAAAAAGGCACTTTCTGCTCAAATAAGCTGCCTCCAGATATATTTACAGAAGGACCGATGAGGATCGTCTTTGAAACGGACCGAGACAAAGAGTATGAAGGATTTCATATGACATGGTCAGCAGAGGGTAAGATAATCACTGTGAGAAATGTCTTTTATTCAAGGTATTTAAAAGCACACCTTGATTACTGGAATGGTAATGCTCTGACAATAAGTCGTGCATACAAAGAATAATTTTTTTAAAACTCTAAACCCGTCATCCTCATTATTGTTAATAGACGAAAACGAATGCCTTGACTCCGGTACCTGCCATGCCAATGCCACTTGTGTTAACACCCCAGGCTCCTATCAGTGTACCTGTATGCTTAGTTACACTGGGGACGGTAAATCCTGTACGTGGTACAAAGGTAAAAAATCGCAATTAAATTGATCAATCCTTAGAAATATTCAGCTTTATACAAAGGGTAAATTGAAAGATGTAGAAAACACGTAGCTTGTTCCTTGAAGGGACTGAAATACCGTGGTATATAAAGCGCGTGTTACAGAGAAAGACGTAGGGGAAAGGATGAACAGTTACATGTAAGAGCGGACAGATTCATCTGAAACAATCATAAAAAGTTCAAATTTCTACTGTTTTAATGAGCCCATACACGCATATAAAACACTTAAGATCCTCTAATTAATTGACTCAGAAATTTCATTAAAAAAATGTCATTTTATCTTGGTTATAATAAACAGCTGACAAAGAATTATTGACCGAGGTGAAGGTCAATAATAATGGTGGTGGCTTCCTCGGAGGCTGATGCAAAAGTACATTTGGAGTTTGAATAGCCATCAGAGTGCGCCTTCAATGCTATCCACTGTTTACATTTTGCACATACATTTATCTGATTGTGCTTTGCCTGATATTTTACAGATTTTAATGAGTGTGACTTAAACCTTGATAACTGCCATGAGGACGCACTCTGTATAAACACGCTCACCCACTTCGAGTGCAGGTGTAAACCTGGCTTTTTAGGAGATGGCCTTCACTGCGTTGGTAAGTGCAGTTCTCTTATACCTGATTGAAAATACATCATCTTACCAAAGCAAACTGAACTTAGTAATACAAGGCGACAGTTATTCATCTTTGAGAACTATTTGCCAGGTCCGTTTCTTTTCTCCCCTTCGAGTACACCATTTCGGATGTATCACTAGTGGTTTACGCCTATAATGAGACATTATTCTTCTTACTTAATGACCTCAGCTTTAATTCTACTATCACACCACAGTCAGAGTAGCACAACATTTCTACATTGTGTTATTTCCAATGATGTTGGTTGGGCTCTTGAGCTTCGTTTAAATCGATATACTTTAGGTCTTACATAAAAAGATTTAGCGTTTTCCGAATATAAGGGTGGATTACAAATTTCATTTGAAATTACCACTGTAGAGTCAGAGCTTTCGCAGTTTATCCAAACAACTGTCTGTGTTTTGCTCCGCCCACAGGCTTTGATCACCAAATTTCTAACGGTGCTGTATGTTTTTCAGATATCAATGAGTGCGAAAATGCTGAATTGGCCTACAAGCATAACTGTCATATGAATGCCAGCTGTACTAATACACATGGATCGTTTCTTTGTACGTGCATATCAGTGTACACAGGAGATGGCGTCACGTGCACAGGTACCATGTCGTAAATAATAGAAGTGCCTTGAATGAGAGATAAAATTTTAATAACTAATTCTAAACACTTTCAGATATAGACGAATGTCGAGTGGACACTCATAATTGCCATGCAGATGGTGTGTGCATAAATACAGACGGCTCATTTCGGTGTGAATGTCAAATGGGATATTCCGGCAATGGAGTCCTTTGCTCAGGTAGAAACAGGGTGTGCATGTATACAACAGAAAATCAAGGGACATTGATAGAAACTCTTAGTCCAGGTCACGGAACACGTCAATTTCATTTACGTTATTTATAGAAATTCCTAAAGAAAGAAAGTATTTTTTTCCAAGAAGTCGGCTTAAAGAGTGACATCGATCCGTTTCTGTGAATAAACGACCGCTATCAGCTTCCTTTGCATGAATTGGGGTTCCCAATTAAAAATAGGAAAATAAACTCGAAAATTGGAAAATAAACTCGCAAATTGGAAAATAAACTGGGCAGATTGCCTTAATCGCCGGTGAGTTACTCTTCCTTATTGGAGAACAGCGAGGAGACTTTTTTTCTGATTCAAATAACTTCGGAAAAGATAAGCTACGTAGATAAACTGCGTTAGGAATCCACAGTGTGGACGTCCGGGGAAGCAGACTTATGCTGCTTGCAACGCTGAGAATACCCTGGAAAGCGTCATTTTTGACATTTCTCTGATTGTGCCCCTCTGTCCCCGTATTTTCTCGTGTTGTATAATCGCGTTTCTTCAGGCATACCTCAATGACCTTATACGAGCATTACCATACATGCAGTTGAGTATTACTTATGATCATGACCTCAATCTGAGGAGATCCTTGTTCGTGTCTTTAGAGCAGGTTATTTTTTAAATTTTTTTTTGTTTTGTCATCAATGGTCTCGGCCTAAAAGTAAAGGCTGCCCAAACAAGATTACTTATAGAGTGCATTTTTTAATGCATCTAATTATCTTTTCATATTTTATATAAAGACGTCGACGAATGCACCGAAAATACAGACAACTGTCACAATAAGGCCACTTGTGCCAATACCAGAGGATCTTATGTCTGCACTTGTAAACAAGGATATAGTGGAGATGGCGTCAACTGTGCAGGTTTGTTGAGGAGTAATAACTACGAATGATGGTTACATGCCGCAAAACTGCATGTTTCTCTAACTTTATCGTTGGTATTTGCTTTGTTAAAGCGTCCAAGTTGAGAGACAGAAGAGTATAATGGTTCGTCCTTCGCTAGTTTCGTTCTCAAATACTGTGGGTTTCATGACACTCCTGCTCTTACCTAAGATGCCGGTTTTTGACAAACTTGATTTTTTTTTGGGCATTTTTCGCTCACTATAACGTAATAGTCATTATCGACGAAGTACTTTTCAAGAAGGTAGTGTTGTTTGATTTCAGACATAGACGAATGTTCCCTTAGTCTTCACGACTGTCATGCAGATGGACACTGTAACAATACTGAGGGATCATACTATTGCACTTGTGACAATGGATACACGGGGAACGGAGTTTCATGTACTGGTAAGAGTTATCAAAAGATATCATACGAATACTTAGTATACTGCATGGATTTAATAACCTAATTCAAATAGTATGTTTGTTGTAATATGACATTGCCCCAAACAAATCGGGCTTTACAAAGCAAACCGTGAGCCTTGCAAAGTACTGGATTTGATCGAAAAGTGTGTAATGTCATATTCAGCGAACACAATATGGATCAGGAGTTACTCGCATAATAACCCAAATCGTCCCACCATTCGCGATACAGACGCATTGTAACACTACCTCTCAACAGGACCTAGCTTCAATGCACCAATTAAGGTAAGAGGATTTATCATTGTGTCAATTTGCATTATTTTTTCATTCAGAACATAATCTGTGGCTAACTGTTGAAAACAAACCTTTTGCAAGTTTTTCAGTGTATTTAAACATGTCTAAGCAGCTTTAGCGTCTCGACTACGACAATCAATGATGAACAAAGTCAACGGTACTGAAAGCGATCAGAACAAGTTTACTATACTGTTCAGGTAACTGCTATTAAATGCTCGTATTATTCCTGTTAGTTGATACTCACTTGGGAGTATGATTTATATTCACTTTGGGAGGACTAAAAAATTGGGTCTCAGCACTGGCTGTCGTAAAATGGTGCCTCTTGGCCTAGGAGTGAAAATGAGCTGTCCAAATATCATGCTCGGGAAGGCTGAGTTGCCATAATCCTAGTCACTTATCGCTGCAGAAGACATAATAAAGTCCTTAGGCTATGTGAGCCAGCCTTTTCTGCATACAGTTGTAATTTATCATAGACATAATGATGAGACAAGTCAGCAGGGTTTAAAAATGGGAACACGTAAAGACCAAATTTCTGCATTTTGTAAATGATATCATTTTCAGTACCTAGTAAACCAGATCATCATAAGTTTCCAGAAAACATGGGCAGCTCATTTACTCTTACGTTTGTGTCATCAGTAAAACTGAAGGTTGGTTTAATTTTTTTTAGGAGATATATCACAGAGCAAGAAATTATCGGTAGCGGAATGGGCAGAGAGACTTAACCGTGTATGTCTTTGCCCGACCATCTTATGTGGAGTCCGTGTATAAAAGTGGGTATCACATATGATATTAGTGCACTATTACTGACTGGCTGAAATCAAGGCATTCCTATTGCAAAATAGAATTTCAGCTAAAATAATAATCTCACATATGTAGATTGAGTCCATCGCTCCTTTCTTTGTAATCGTAAATCAAACTGAAACTGATGCAACTAACATAATGTGCTTTTAACTGTTAATTGTACTTTTATTCCTAAAAATCAGTTAATCGTTGCTAATGTACTAACCTGGCGGTTACTTTCTAACATGCAGGGTGAAGGTCGCTTCGCTTCCTGAAAGGTTTTAACAATACCTAACGCTTGCTTTAACATGCATCGATATCGATGCTTGTTAATTTCATCTTGCTGTTTATGAGTGCGTTACCATTCTCTACACTGACCTTTTAAAAATATAGGTGCATGTAAAAAAACACTTCATAAAATTTGTTCTGAGGCACAACAGAACAGAACCCCCGGTTAGTTCATTAAATCTATCTAAACTTTGTGGCAATGACAAACGCAGAACATTTTTAGGGAAAGTATATATATATATATATATATATATATATATATATATATATATAACCCAACTAATTTTCGTCTCCACCATTAAAAATTATGGATAGTAGTATGCGTCGTAACGCTTTCTGAAGTATAAGTCTGGTTAAAGCGATTTAAAGGCCTTGGATTTTTCTTAATGTTTTATGTGTAAAGAATTATATATGGCTCAAGTTAATTATATATTTTCAGGCCTGAGATTTGTTTTCTCTGGTACATGTAATTAGCTGTCTTTATCCTCGACTTTTTTTACGTAGCTCAGATTAGATTTGAGAAAGATTTAAAACTGAATACATTATTAGACAATAAGCCTTCGCGTTAAAGGTCGATGATAGTCGATCTTGATCTTTTGTTATCTCCTTTCACTTAGATAATCAATTGGCGTAAGTCTAGCAGCACTACGTAACGGAACAATCAGCACTATACTCATGTCACATGACGTGGAGGTACTTGTTTAGGTTCTCGATAACTCTTTTTTTCATTGTTTCAATGGTTCTGATTGTGGCTTCATGATGACTTACTGAAAAATTCTTGCTGTAACGAATTCTTATTCACGAGGGAAGGTTGCAAAACTGATTGTGCTAAAACAATTGCACGGAAAGGGACATTTCCCCCTTTGCACATGCACTGGCGAGATTCTACATTCGCGCTGGTTATCCTTATCGTTACTAACACATGTCATACTGCCCTTAATTAATCATTTAAATGTCTAATTTGCGTTCGTGCACTGTTCTTTGTGGTAACCCCTGATCCATTGCTGTCTTAATATTAATGCTCCCAACGTGTTTCGTTAAAATGTCTGTTCTATGGCTAACTGTAACAATTATGATGCTTAATGCTGCGATACCAGCCGTAAATTTAAGAAAAATGTATCTGTATACTACTTGTAGTGTGAGTGATGGTCATGATTTGCCTTAGATCAACTTTCACAAAAAGGTAAATTTGATGACGTACCCAATAGTAAATGCAAAGGAATTTAATCAAGCGGTAGAACACATTTTCCCACGCGAGAAAGGCTAGTAAAACACAAGCTGTAAGGTGAGTGATTTAAAAAATTTTTGTTTTAAAACCGGGAAAATGTGGACTACTGCTTTTATGACACAACTGTGCTTGTGATTTAACTAGAGGACAATGAATTTAGCGTCTGTTCGGAATTAAGTCACTGATTCTCATTAAACTTGTCAAAAAGTGCGACAAACCAATCAAAGCGCGCGCAAGGAATTAAACAACCGATTAGAATGACAATAAGTGGATTAAAGACTGAAATAATATTAAGAATCCCAGCGGAAACTGCTATAAGGAAAATACAAAACAAAAACCTTAATTTGCTGCTTAAGAAAATTAATTTTGGACAAGGAAAACGCTATCTTTGTGGTTAGAGTATAAGTCTTCCTCAACAATATTCAACTGACGCGTACGGAAAGTTTGCACGTGCAGCACAGTTTTTGAGTGCTTTTTTTTTCGGAAAAAGGGTTGGTGACAAACTATAGCCGTTACTGTTTTTTTCCCCCATTTTAGAAAACAATTCTAAACTCTTGAGGACTTGAATTCGCTGTATTTTAACGAATTAAAAGCCGCGAAATCGAGCCACAACAACACGAGCTGTGTTCAGAAGTTTGACTGCCGTTAAACCACTTTTATCGCATCTACTTAGATTAGAAATTCCTGAGGCCTTTGTTGGTTGCTCTAAGATCAATCCAAAAATACAACCATCAGTACTTGTAATTTGCTACAATCGTGACTCATGACTTAACATTGATAATTATGTTTGAGAACGGTCTTAGATAAGTTAAACTTTTACTGCATTCTATCTACGAATGATGAAATTCACTTTACAATCTAAAATTTAAGATGCAAGAACCATTTTGGTTATTCTCTCGTTTCTCCTTAAGGCGGGGTTGTCGCTAAGAGATTAGGCTGTCGGCAGAAATTTTAAGTTATGCGGTTTATAGATGGCTCTTCATAGAAGGTGCTTTGTGTGAAACGGAAGACCCGGCCTAGTAATGACATTTTGTTCACAGTCATTGCCAAAGCTGTGATTGTGTACCAACCAAGTTTCCTGTTTACAAAATGGTGATCACAATTGACAAGTGCTTAAAACAGCGTTTTATTTCAGCTATATTTAGTATTCGTGATAGTTGCACTAATACTAAGGTTGGTCAGGCACATATTCAGATTTTTTCGTTTGGACTATCGCCGGCAGGTGGTGTTAGCGACAACCCTGGTTCGCATCCTTCTGTTTGTTATCCTTAAATGAAACTGGAGAACTTTTTAAACTTTACTGTTGAAATTTGACGCTGTTTATTTTTAGATATGGATGAGTGTGAATCTGTAGGTGACGTTCCTTTTGGAAACAACTGTCATGATTACGCCAACTGTACCAACACTAAGGGATCATTTCAATGCACGTGTCATACGGGATACTCTGGTGATGGAATTATTTGTGTTGGTAAGCTCTTTGTCAGGGAATAACGCCAAAAAACGAACCAGCAAGCTTTAGTATAATTACCCGGGTCATAACAGAGATTCTCTTGCTCAGATAGGTTGCACATTGCTTCATATCTCGCCATAATCACTTCGCGTGAGGAGACCATAGCGGGGGCGCTGAATTTCAAAATGGCTGGCTCGCGTTTAGTCAATGTTACCAAGGAAATGATAAATGCGATAGAATAATACGAGATTCTTCAGAGTGCAAAAAATGCCACTAAGGTGGGCGCAACACTTTTCAAAGTTAGAACTAGAGGTTTTCGCGGATTTAACGAAATAAATCTGTCAAATTCTAATGAAAAAACTGGTTGCTTATCTCGATACAGGTTCTCAAAACAATTGTAGAAAAAAAATGCTTAGTGCTTTCTTTATTTACAGTATGGTTTCAACAACTAAACGAATTCACTTCAAAATTCGAAGCGCGAAGGTAAACGCAAGTTAACGAAAACTTTACCTCTCCGTAAGGCGAAAAGACGGCTAGCTAGCTAGTTGTCACTGTCAGTTACTCTCGACCGTCAACTCAAGTCATCACCACACCACAATAAAATTTCCATTTGCGATAACCACTTGCTTAGCGAAGCCAATTAAACACCCATTTCTTACCTCCGAGGGCAAAATAGCTGGCACAGTTCATGAAACTCCAATAACTAGTGAAACTATCAAGATGACAAAGTTGAGTTAACTGATGTCAACAATCACTACTATCTGGTTCTTCCTCTCCAACTTCTTCTGTAAAAGAGGATGGGAAAGTAAACATTGACTAAAGAACTCGATGATTTGCCTCATCGAAACAGCTGATGAAAAATGTTCTCTGTATTAAACAAGATCGAGATGGGAGCGCTATTGACAAGCAAAAACCATGCTCACACAGCTGGCCTCTTTAAGGAGAAGTCCAGATTACGTCCTGAAGCTGTATTTTAGCCATCGAAATTCAAACTTTAGCTCCGCGAAGTTCTCTCTCACAACAAAAATTTGATATGAATAAAGACAACTTGGGGACAATATGTTGGAAACTACGCAGCAAAAGATGACAAAGAAAGCAGCGATCTTCAGTTCCTTATCTGAAAAACCGTTCGACAATAATTACAGTCTTGTCCGTCCAAAAATAATATAGAAACATATAAAATCAAGGCTATCATAAGCACAAAAACGATACAAGTATAAAAGCTACTGTAAGCGACACTCAGGCATTTAAACAAATGTCATCAAAAGCAAAGAGGGTCCCGAAACATCTCTTTCGGTTCACAACATTCATGACTACATTTTTACTGCAGTGCACTCCTCAAGAGATCAATGATTGCGATTGGGAAGAAAAGAATATAACCTTTTGTTATCCTCCTGTTTGAATTCTGCAGCATCTATTCCTTTTTCCTGAACAAATTAGAGTAGACGTAAAAGAGAGTGGTCGTAACAGCCTAAACTGTGAAATCAGCGTAACCCTTTGTTTAGCCAATAAGTCACCTCTCCTTACCCCTCATCCTAATTTTCTACTTCTACTCTTTTGGGCTACATACCCAAGGATACCCAAACAAAAGTTGTAACACCTAACAATTCTCTCTTGAAACCTGCTGAGCACGATTTAAACCATGTGGTGGAAAGTTTCCGTAGGCATTGAACAAACAATAGCGTCATCGTCCTAAGACAAATCGGGAAATTTTGGTATCGCAAATTTACAAATTGCTCGTTTACGTTCACTGTCGACGCAAACAATGGCGTTTAAAGTTTTTGACTGAACCAGCCGCAACTTACTTCTTTTTAGACATTTTAGCCCCACATTTTCCCTCGTTCATTCAGTTTTTTGCTTCAATCATGTGCAGCTATAGATTGACCATTTGGTCAACGCAACAAAGTCCATGTCTCTGTTCTTCGATGTGTGACGAGTCTTTGCTGTAATACTCACCTGTTAAAAATATACTAAACAAAATATTCGATTCAGGATCAGAGAATAAAGTTGATAATCCCCAAAACGAATTCGAGGCGAATATTCAAGAATATTTCACTGAGCCTGAAGGGAATAATCGTTAAATTCTCATAGTTTTGGATGCAGTTTTAATAACGAACCCGAGGTTGAGGTAATAATTAAAAATCTTTAAATCGTACATTTTGTGATTATTTTATGCGATAAAAGTTTGAGTGGCTTAAAATTAAAAAGACCGCCAGACTCTTTTTGGCTACAGTCAGTTAGGTCGCCCAGTATGATATAAACCGTTTTGCCTTGTATGTGTGTTTATACATGACAAAGCTAGCTAGGAAAACACCTTGACTTCTTATTTTCTTCATCAAGATATCAACGAGTGCGACCGACTCGGGTTGTCAACTGAACATCAGCAACCGGGCCATGTTTGTCATGATGATGCTAACTGTTCAAACACTAAGGGATCTTACTTTTGCACCTGTCTGGACGGATATTCTGGAAATGGATTGCACTGCGATGGTGAGACACCTTTAAATTAAGTGGACTCAAATAAAGCAGGCTTTATTTCTGGACAGATTTGCTCAATGTAAAAAAAATTATGAAAAAGGTAGCCTGGACTATTTTCTTCTGGTTGAACGTCGTCGCTTTTGCTATCATGAATTTCTAGGTATTTTTTCATGCTCTTTTTATGGACGTTTGTTCGGTTCTTGTCTCATAAGGGGTACGTGAAATACCAACCCAGAAGATGACTTTTACATTACCGCACTGTAATCTAATATTATTCATTTGTTAGATCTCGATGAGTGTTCAACTGATAGACATAACTGTCGTGTCACCGCCAACTGTACCAACACAAAAGGATCATTTCACTGCACGTGTCATTCGGGATACTCTGGTGATGGAGTCGCATGTGTCGGTAAGACATAGGGATAGAAATAGTCATTGAAAGAAAGAGAAAATTTAAGTTATTTTCTAGTTGAATAGTTTAACATTTTTTATGTATTTTCATGTAGAAAGTAATGGATTGTAAGCTAAAACGATGGAACAAATGTTTATTTAAACGATGATTGGAAGGTACTGTATATTATCATATTAAAGGAAAAGAGACAGGAAAACAAATAAAAGGAAAATAGGCTACTTATGCCTAAATAGATAGATCTCGTATATTATGCGGACATCTTAATTTGGAGTTCTCAGTTACAAAATTGACAGAACCTTACCAGCTTTTGTGCATTTCTAGCAAATGTAACCGAATTATCGGAGTAATAAGTTTAATTCTGTTCCTTAGGACAGCAAACGGAAATCTGCTTTTGTTTGATAACTACCCACTAATCAATGGCAGGCTTGTGTTAGAAATCGAAACCTCTCGATTAATTTCTACTATTTGCTTTCTTGCTTTATTGCCCCACTCACTACGATGTACTTAAACATCCATTTGTGTTCCTAGATGAAAAAAACAAAACAAAACAAAAAAGAATTCCATTCTATCAAGAGCACGTTTATTTTCCTCCCATAATGTTTAAATTACGTTTTTCCAAAGACATTAACGAGTGCAACCGACCCGGGTTGTCAGCTGAGAACCAAGACTTTGGCCACATTTGTCACGATGATGCTAACTGTACAAACACTGAGGGATCTTACCTCTGCGCATGTCTAAACGGATTTTCTGGAAATGGATTATACTGTGATGGTGAGGAAAGTCATAGATGAATTAGCACGCGCTTTTATTTATGGATTGAAATATGGGTTGGGATTGCCTTTGGGTTCACGGTCCCTGATAATGGAATTGTGTCATGATGTTTGATATGGATGTCTCGGTGCGATCTCTCGATAGGAAAAAATTGCTCTGTTTACCTACAGAATGATCTGTTGTTAGGCGCTAATATTTTTAAGGACATTATCTAAAAAATAAGCTGCGTTGAGTGTGAAACTGTCAACTGAGTAAAGGTATAAATAATTCATTCTTTAGATATCAATGAGTGCTCAAATGGAAAACACAACTGTCATCCTATTGCTAACTGCACCAACACCGAAGGATCTTTTCATTGCACTTGTCACTCAGGATATTCTGGAGATGGAGTTTCCTGTTCAGGTGATAATACATGAGTTTATTATGTCGCTTAGTGATCGTTGCACCACTTATAACTAGGTTCTGTCCTTTTCAAAACCTTCATTCCCTCCATCGAAACTTTATGCCAAAACGATACACTCAAATTGACAATTAGAACCTTTCTGTCAAGTGCGTTACTGGGACCATTATAACTATGTAAAAGTTGAGTTTTCCCGTCGCCTGACGAGTAATCTTATCTTATTAGATATCGATGAGTGTGTAACTGGAAGACACAACTGTCATGCTGACGCCAACTGTACCAACACTAAAGGTTCATACTATTGCACCTGTCATACGGGATATTCTGGTGATGGAGTTACCTGCCAAGGTAGGCTGAATGTTATCAATTTAGTACTAAAAGATTGGAAACCCTCGATTTCCTATATCCTTTATAGAAGATTTTTATAATAAACTTTACTCTCAGATATAAAAGAATGTCAGTCTGAAAGTCTGGCGCCTCATCACAGCAATTATCGTCATAATTGCCATGAAGATGCAAATTGCACAAATACCAAAGGATCATTTTATTGCACGTGTCATCGCGGCTTCTCCGGAAACGGTGTAAGTTGTGAAGGTAAGTAAACATCAACGATGAAATGTGTTTCTTCGTAAAAGAAAACATCAGATCACTTCTGTCTTGGGCCTTGTTGATTTCCTCTTCACCAATCGGTAGCTGAGTAATAAAAAAATTTTCTGAACAGCACTCTTACTCGTAGTTATGCAATAGAACCTAGGGATGTGTAACAGTCTCTCGCTGAAAGTGGCACATATGATTGACCGCTTAGTTCGTCGTCATTCGTAAACACACGGCAACAGGTCATAAAATAAGAATCAAGTAACACCGTCGGCTTAATTTCTATTGGAGACATCTCGCTACAGACGGTCCACCAGTTTGAGTTCGACTATAATATCATGGCATGTCACGGTCCAAAACTGAAATGAGCAAAAATGACGCTAATAGCAACAGGGAAAGTAATTCAAACGAAGAATTGTAGTTCATATAATCATTTGAATCTAATGATAACTTACACAGAATAAAGAGTTCATTATAAAATAAATACGTTTTCCCTATTTAGATGTGGATGAGTGTTTTCCTAATCTGAACTCTAGCCAGCATGCTTATTTGACTCATAATTGTCACGATGATGCAAACTGTACCAACACAAAAGGATCCTTCTACTGCACGTGTCTTAATGGTTATTCTGGTAATGGAGTAACTTGTGTAGGTAGGTAAAGGATGTGTCATCATGCCATTAATGTCACCAACAAAATCAATCTATTCACGTCGGTCCTACCCAAGCAAGCGTCATAGGCTAAACTGTTTGAACCGTATTTTCACGTATACAGGATTTCAAATGCCATCTGGTTTGATTGACCGTCAGATGGGCAGAGTAAGAATGGCATCCTGTCAACGGAAATTTTTCCCACTTGAGAACTATAGAGGAGGAGCAGATCCTGGAACTCCTGATCCATATCTCGTATCCTCTGTTTGATACGAGTAAACTGCATTAATTGATAACAAATTGCATCACAGAGCTCCTGATGCAATTTGCATGGATTTCAAAGAAATAGATACTCGGCTTACTTATCAAGAAATAGGGAGTGAACATAGCATGCTTAGTTGCATTAACCTTCCAGATCTTCAACTATATTTTTGTTTGCCAAGGTCATTATTAGATATAATAGATAGCGATCGTAAATTGGCATAGTGGTTTTAGTTTGTTTCAAACATGTTCGGGCTTATTTTTTAAACTATTCTATGGTGTGCATATAGTGCCACTTTTTTTCTTTCCCCAAAACACTGGTTAGACCATAGGAGAAATTTCTCCCTAAAAGTCATTGACTTACTTGAATTTTCAAAATCTTCATGAACAGCTAACCACAGCTGAATAGAGGAATTAACTCATTGCATAGTATGTTGTCATTTTTTTAAACTGGAGTTTTGATTTTGTTGCATATCAGATATAGATGAATGTGCTACTGAAGTAGATAACTGCCACCTGAATGCTAATTGTTCCAACTCGAAAGGATCATTCAACTGCACTTGTCATACGGGATACTCTGGACATGGTGTTTCGTGTCAAGGTAATGCTTGATCAGGAAAGCTGTTTTTACATGTTCTGTAAAGTTTACACATTGCAATGGTATTCAGTGGTCGAACAACACCTGATGAACATTTTTTCGGGCAACCATAACTAAATTTAATTTTTGTCAAATTACGAAATAGAAAAGCGAAACAGTTAGGAAGGCAAATTAGAGTAATGAGACTGGGTTGATCCTACTAAAACCTAAGAAAGGAGTTTATTGAGCCATATTTCATACTTGAATATCGTAAATTACTTAACAGAGACACATTAAATTATAACGTTATATTACAATTCTGCTTTAATACAAATAACACGACGTTATACCTTACAGCGCTACAATTTTTACCGAAAATAAAATTTATAGTAGACTCAAAATTGCAATGTAGATTTAATTTATCACCCATACTTCTGTACAAAACACTATTATTAGACTTCTTAGAAAGTGTAAAAAGCAGAAAACATGAAATTAATTTAGACTTTGCCCTCATAGATATCGATGAGTGCACGTCTGGAGCACACGAATGTCACGCTGACGCCAAATGCACCAACACAAAAGGATCATTTTACTGCGCGTGTCATTTGGGCTACTCGGGAGATGGAGTGATCTGTGAAGGTAAAGTTAACGGTCGCTATCAGAGAGACATTTTATCATCGCTTAGTTTTCTATCAACGAGAGCTTCACCTCTTTAACGCCGTCTACCAGTAAATAGATAACAGACAACCCTGCGGCTACTTATTTTTAAATAATTAAAATTTTTAGATTTACAGGGCCGTAGCTAGCATGAGGAAACATGAGGCAATTGCCTCGTCTTGATTTTGGCCAAAGATTGACTTTTCTGAAGAAAAATGCCACGGAAAATGCTTAAAAGAGCATTTCTGAGCCTTTATATTTTAAAATATTCGGGGGGGGGTGCGGGGGGCATGCCCCCATAAGCCCCCTGGCGGCTCGCGCCTTCGGTGCTCGAAACTTGCTTCGTCTTTTTCTGAAGTCTGGCTACGGCCCTGATTTAAATCTCACAGCAGAAAAAATTTCAAGTTTTGGTGGACCAAGATGTGGTGGTATGTGAAACAATTCCTGTGCTTGCACTGTAATTCTATGATAAGATATATTGAGTTGAAATGTGTACTCTATAAAAAAAAGGAAGATGTTATACACTTAGTGATGTTTTTGTATGTTTTAATTCTGTAGACGTGAATGAATGTTTTCCTGAAAAAATACCAGATGAACACGACTATCTCGAACACAACTGTCACAGTGATGCCAACTGTACCAACACTAAAGGGTCATTTCATTGCACCTGTTATACGGGGTATTCCGGAAATGGGGTCGTGTGCACAGGTACCTTTGTGTGTGTATGTGGAGAAGGAGTGTGTCTTGGATGAATCGTCACTGACGTTTACCAGATTTTCTGGAAAAGCATTAAAACATAGGGCTGGCGAAACATTAAACCTGACATGGCCTATTTTTATTCCAAAGATATAAATGAATGCTACCCACCAGGATTGTCATCTGAGCACAAAGACTTGGCTCACATATGTCACGATAATGCAAACTGTACCAACACGAAAGGATCTTACTACTGCACGTGTCTTAATGGTTACTCTGGATTAGGAGACATGTGCACAGGTATGGTTCTTTTAAGGCTTTAAGGCGCTGTAAAGACTCATGATGAACCTGGAGTTTCTTGCCACGGAGATTCACAATAGAAAACCTTAAGACTTAGGATAACCCTTCTAAGAAGAAAACAGTGAAGAACTTGAACATTGTGGATACATCGAGTAAAACAGATGCAGTTATTTTAACCTTGTCATCATTAGATATCGATGAATGCGGTACTGGTACGCACAACTGTCACGCTGACGCAAACTGCACCAACACCAAAGGATCATTTTATTGCACGTGTCATACTGGATACTCTGGAGATGGGGCTAGTTGTGAAGGTAAGTTCAATGGACGGCAATTGTTGGGTAACAATCGCGCTTAAGCTTATATTAGAGTGGTTTAGCAAGAGGACGGGAACGTCATTTCAGAACGGCGCGCGCAGCAAAAATGCCGAGAAAAAACTGGGTCGAGAACGCCGTCGCGTTGTGTAGAAAAGTGACTTAGCAGTCGTTTCAACGAACCGTCCACGTTACATTTGTTCTTGAATATCCTAACGTTGGCTCCTTAGGATCATTATCAGCTTTGAATTTTCGGTTTCATAGACCGCTTGAAGGACAAAGAAATTATCCTCTTTGAGATTCACTCTAACAAGCACAAACCCAGGATAGCTTACTACAAGTGAGTTGTTAATATGGGCATGAATCCACATGGGCAAGTAAACTTGCCCATGTGGGCAGTTAAATTATTCCATTCCAGTTAAGACTCGAGTCTGCAGATTCATCTATCAAATTTTGAAGCCCACTAAATATTTTTTTCTATGATTTGTGATTTGTATCGCTGTCATTCCGTTTCGTGCTTCTAGATTTCAGCACTACTTGTTTTTCTTCATAATAATCGCGCGCTTTCCCGTTCTGAAATGACGTTCCCGTCCTCTTGCTAAACCACTCTATTGAAACGAGATGTGTCTTCTTCATTATCGTGGTGTACTCTATATTGAGTGACCGTCTTACTTGGTGCATATACATATATGTATATTTCGTGTTCAAAAACTCAATTCACTTTAAAGTACTGTAACAATACAAAGTTTCATCTTTATACAGTATAAAGAAGCCTTGTCAAAACAGCCATGTCAGTTACTTTCACTGCATACATATCAAACAAACATAGTACCTATCTAGTAAAATACTCCCTCCATAAACGCGAAATCATACGTACATTTATATGATCATTACGATCCTGGTCTTTTTCTAGCCGTTGCAACACATATTGGGCTATCTGTATCTTTGTTATCAACAAAAATGTTCCACCGAATCAATTAAAAAAATAACTCATTAATGAAGTAGCTTTGCTTTGCTCACTACAGATATTAGTGAATGTCAGATTCAGAGCCTCGCATCTCATCACATCACTCAGTATTCCCACAATTGCCACAATGATGCAAACTGCACAAACACCAAAGGATCATTTTACTGTTCGTGTCACCACGGATATTCAGGCGATGGTGTGATTTGTTCAGGTAATAATAAAAAAAGGGTTCGTCAGAAATTTCCGTCTCTTAACTTTTCACTCCTTAGAGCGACCAAAACGAAGTTCATCCAACGATATTATCGACCGCCGCCTGGTTAGCTCAGTTGGTAGAGCGCCAGTCTGCTGTGCGGGAGGTCGAGGGTTCGAGCCCCAGACCGGACCAACACTCAGGGTCTTAAAATAACTGAGGAGAATGTGCTGAAGTGGAGGTGAGATTGTGACCAACACTCAGGGTCTTAAAATAACTGAGGAGAATGTGCTGCCTTTGTAATTGTACCAGCAAATGGTTAGACATTCAAGTCTTCTCGGATAAGGACTATAAACCGTAGGCCCCGTCTCCTGCATCTTCAGTGTTACATGGTCAGCAGGGGACGTTAAAGAACCCACACACTTGTCGAAAAGAGTAGGGGGCGTAGTTCCCGGTGTGGTGGTCTATCTGTTGTTTCATTGTACATTTCATGCATGGGCTGGGTGGGTGAGTGAGATCAAATATGTGAGGGCCACAAGTTATTAGCCTTTGGCTATTAAGTGCCACCCTCTTTAAATAAAGGCTTTACTATTACTTGATATCAATACATTTTCAAGGATAAAGGCGATAAAGGAAAGAAGGACATCACTTAGGTTATAATATTTGGTTGGACGCGAAATTCTTGGAGCTGACATTACATAAGATGTATTGTATACAGCGAGGAAAATTTTTTTAAGATCCTGGGAACGAATGGGTTAGCAGAAGAAGACAATTCAAAGCCAATAAATCTACGTTCAAATGACATAGGGAATCCCGACTTGAGCAACCCAGTTATAAACCTAATAAAGTTTGAATTAATTCCTCCCAAAATAATCTGAGACATGACGCAAAAAGAAAGTAAATGAAATGTTATTCTATGATAGATGTATAGAAACTCTGTGTAGGCCTTAGCTCAGCAAAATTCGATAAACTAGACACTCAGTAATGTTTAAAAATGTTTTAATCCTTTTAGATATCAACGAATGTTTTCCTGATCTGATTTCTGATGAGCATTCTGATATGGCTCCCAACTGCCATGTTGATGCTAACTGCACCAACACAAAAGGATCATTTTTCTGCACGTGTCTAGATGGTTATTCTGGTAACGGAGTTTCATGTGTAGGTAGGTGATTCTCGTGAAAGATATGCTGTCATCAGGTGTAAGCTCTATCGGTATTCAATTGAAGTTGATAGAAGGTTAAGATTTATCGTACTTTGAAGTTATCGCTCCAATACAAGATCGTCATTTATGAAATGATTATGGTTGAGTAAATCTCAAACTCTCTTTTCAATGTGCCAGTGTCGACACTAACTAGCTTTTTCCAAAAGGTGAATAGCCATTTATTTAGGAATATTATTAAGTGCTATTTAAATTTCACAATTTGCAACCTAATTCACGTGCGCTAAAATTTAATCCAAATTCATCAGGTTTTTTCAAAACTAATTTGCCACAAAAGTTACGTCCTGACTTAAGACTTACTTTCATCACAACACAACAGACTCGTTGTCATTGAGGACGTAGTCCTCTTGCTTACAGCTTTGCTGGGGGGATTCTAAAGAAATCGTGCGAAGAATCCGATTCTGTTTAACATTTAGGAAATTGTCTGATTGCTACAAAAACTGATTTTGAGAGAAAATCTGAGGTGTGAATCTCTTTAATTTACATCAGTTTAAAGAAGAAAGCATTTCTTAAATGAAAGGTATTCCTTTTCCACTAGAAAAGAAATGTTAATTTTAGCACAAGAAGGGTGTCGTTCATGATGTCGAGACTAAGAGAATGTCCAGGCTCAAGAGGAAAACGCCTTTCAAGACAAAACTGAAAAAAGCGAGGGAAACGCTCGTTGTTTAAGTAACCTCACCGGAGGGAGTTTAGTCTCATGGTTGTTGAACATGGATGGTTAACTGGGATGGAAATGATAGCGGAAATTGAACAAGCAAATGAAATAAAAGGAGATGCATTTGAGAAGCAAAACGGTGGCAGCCTCAAAAACCAAGCATCACTTCAGTGCTGCATCATATCCATATCTCCGATTTCGAGAAGTTGCCAACTAAGTAATATATTTACGGAGAAAATTTGAAGTAGGTGACAGGCCTTTTTAAATGGGCAACTGTAACTGATCAACTGACGTTTAAATAATGTCAAATTTTTTTCTTCTTAACTTCATCTGATTTTTATCAAATTTGATGTCGGTGTTGAATTCCGCTAGCCATCTGCTCGAAAACTCCTGATCCATTTTACTTTCTTGTAAACTTGTTATTAGCATATCTTCTCTGCTATCTGAAACTTTTTTGCCCGGTCTCCGTGCACTTGATCGAAGGCTTTTTAATTGAGGGTTCTTGAATATCATTGCACTGAATAGAACATGATAAAAGTGCATTAGAACCCAAGCCCTTACATGCTTGTATTGTAGATATTGAGGAGTGTGAAATAAACAAAGATAACTGTCACATGGACGCTAACTGCTCTAATACAAAAGGCTCATTTTACTGCACATGTCACACAGGATATTCTGGGGATGGCGTCCTCTGCAATGGTATGTTGTGGGACCATTAGTTTTACTTCTTATCATCCTTTATACTGGTGAAAAAAGGTAATTTGGTTTCATTAATTGAGTTGATAATGTAAATTGGCCACCGCAAAGAGTTTCAAAGCTGAAACATTGACTGACCATTGGCTTTCTTTATGGAAATGAAATACTTATCACAATTTTTTTAAACAGTACTTCGCTAGTTTGCTGAGCAAAATAGCAAAATGCATGTCACAAGAGACACCAATAAAAAGAGATGTACATTTTGTTGAAAAAGGTGGTGGACATAGTTTCTGTTAAACTGTAAATAAAATATATTTTCAGACATCGAGGAGTGCGCCATTGATTCAGACAGCTGCCATGCTGATGCTAACTGTACCAATACAAAAGGCTCTTTTCACTGCACCTGTCGCCATGGTTACTCTGGAGATGGAATAAAGTGCATAGGTAATTTTAATCCAATGTTGGATTAAGGATCGGTTAATCATGATTGGTATTTTGAATGTCTTAAATTATCCGGGAACCATTTACTTGCATACAATCAAAGTTAATCTCTTGATTTCAATATTCTCGTAAGCTGCGTAGTAAGCTCCTCCGTGACTACGAGGATTGCAGTTCTCCATGAGAACTGTGTGATGTCAAAGAGCAATCCAAGCTAGAGCGTCACTTTTTAATCTACAAATAAAATAATTACGATTTCAAATCTCGTTGCATTCGACCTGTTTATTTTTTTAGATGTGGACGAGTGTTTCCCAGATCAGATATCTAATGATTATCGCTATCTTGAAAACAACTGCCATGCTGACGCAAGCTGTTCCAACACTAAGGGTTCCTTCTTCTGCACCTGTCATACGGGATATTCTGGGGATGGAGCGGTATGCATAGGTTAGTGGACAGTCATATCCCTTTCCTCCTTCGCGTCACGAACATTTACCATTTTAGGACTCATTTTCTTCTTTACTTTCATCAAAAGATATAAACGAATGCGACGATTTGACATTGTCGTCGGAGCACCAAGACATGGCTCACATATGTCACGACGATGCTAATTGTACAAACACAAAAGGATCTTACTACTGCACATGTCTAAATGGATACTCTGGATCAGGAGAGAAATGCAAAGGTAAAAATGATGGATAACTGCTTGGATTCTCGTTAGCTCATGTATTTAACTATTTCTCACTTGTTTTGCGTATTCGTTGTCACTGAATAAATTTTTATCTCGAGTTCAGTTTATCTGCAATTAAAGGTAATGGCGCAAATTACAAAAATATGCTGTTTGGTGGCAACGTGTCACCTAAATAAGCAGAAAATTCTGCGACTCAAATGGACATAAGAATTTAAAAAAAGGCAGAACGAAAATAGGCCAAAACAATTGAGGAAATTGATAATATGCAACTTGCTACTACAGTGAACAAACCTGTGTCTAAATTGCAAGTAAAAAGGTTTTTATTCGAAATGGGTGGGATAGAGGTCATTGGTAGTCGTGATAAGAAAGGTTTTTGCTGGTCTCATCATTTTCTGGAAGACCAGCGTGATTCAGGCAATCAGTACATGTATCAAAACACTGACTTGTAAAGAGGTGACAAAAACCTTCAATCAATCAAAAATATAACTTACTGGAGTAACACAAGCGGAAAAATAATTCATTTTTACATAAAGTGGATGTGAGTTGGAGGGCCTGAATATGAGTCGATACTTTTTCTTAAAATTTTGAAGCAAGCCGGCATGCAGCTTTCCAGCGTAACTCGTCTAATACAAGTTCGTTTCGATGTTATTTCTTTCGCAAGATATTGACGAGTGCACATCTGGAACACACAACTGCCATGTCGATGCTAATTGTACTAACACTAAGGGATCGTTCTTTTGTATTTGTCATACGGGATATTCTGGTGATGGAATAACTTGTGAAGGTTAGTAATATGGTTTCCATGTGGATCATTTATAAATTTCAAACGACGTTGGCTTCCGTTTTTACTGTTCATCCTTCCAGTATAAATGGTGCAATCAACAGTTACGTTTCTGAAACAAAGTAGTATGATGACCTGAACTGTAACCTGTCATTAGTAAGTTGCTTCCTAAACTAATGTTTTCCCTTCTCAAATTTTACTCATTAGATTTATATCAACAGCAAAAACCTATTGAATAAAGCTAGCCGGATGAGGCTATGGTATACACATCAAACTACTGTGATAGCTCCCTTTGTGGTGCTAATGAATCCAAGATAGTCCTAAATTAACAAAGTTTCCACCCATATGCTTTGTTTCTAGAGAGAGAAAGGTGACTTGCTATTATGTGCCATTTTACACGAGCCGATAATTATCTCATTCTGTTTTCCTTTCTGGCCCAAGCTGAGGTTAAACATTTTACACCTTCTTTGGCAAGAATGGGAAACCAATTAACGTGCTTATAACGAACGTTTGAATAAGAATAGATGCGCCTTTCCTCAAACTGATTGGTTATTTGTATCGACTAATAGTTATTTTTCGATGCAGATATAAGTGAGTGCGAAACAGAAGGCCTGTCACAAGAGCATAAAGGTTATGAGCATAACTGTCACTCCGATGCAAACTGCACCAATACAAAAGGATCCTTCTTTTGTACTTGCTTAAACGGATACTCCGGAAATGGTGTGGATTGTGTTGGTGAGCTGATGTAGAGAGATACCTTATTGAGTGTGTGCGAGTGTGTGATAGCGAGGGAGGGAGGCTTGTTCTCACGGTTAAGTCGGTCTATTGAGTGAGATGTGTTTGTTATCACTGTTGTTTTCTATCTAGATATAAATGAATGCCACGCAAACAATTTGGCTCAAGAACACGTGGATGAATATTCTCACAACTGTCACGCTGATGCTTACTGCACTAACACTGAGGGATCCTTCTACTGCACGTGCCTCAATGGGTATTCTGGTAATGGAGTTGCCTGTGTGGGTACGTTTAAACGGTATATGTATGAAATGAAGAAATTCTAAATTTATATCAGTAACCAAAATGGCGAAAAGATTTTTCAGCATGTCTTTTGAGAGAACTCCTGATCCAGTGTTTGAAGATACAAGACACGTTATACGTGGAAAGCTGTGGTGGGGCTAATTATAAAGCAAGAGCTAAAGCAGTGATTTAAGCTTATTCGATGATGGTTAAAAGCTCACATTTTGCGAGGTTCACCGCGAAATGTGATCAATAATCATATAACCTGGAGTGATATCTACTAAACCATGGAATGGAGAGTTGATACAAAGGCCATATTAAGCTGGTACATAAGAATATTCTACCTGCGTGGTGACTTATTTGACCTCCGTCTCATAACGATGATTATTTCTTGTCAGAATTGACTTACCCAGACTGAAAAAATCCTTTTCGATATTGTTCCATGGGCTTATTTCGTGTTTTAGGGTCCGATTAATAGTGTGAGCTGCAACTAAAACTGTACTTAACAATAAAACAAGCTCGTTTAGTAATTAGTAGTTATTTGATGAGGGCTCAATCGACTATCATGCCCAGAAATCAAGAGTGAATAATCGAATTGTTTTGGTATAAGTTTACTTGTCGTTCAGAGCTCAACCACAAGATAGGCTCATCTTTGATTTTATTCCTTTATTTTTACACCTGCACTTTACTCTCTGTCTATCACGGAATAGATAGTAAGTAGCGCAGCCAATCAGATATCTATGTTACTGATCTTCTGGAGAACTTGAATATAAAATGCTTCCAGCGTGCGGGCAACAAAAATCTGATCTAAATAACTGTAGAATCTCTAAATCAATCAATACACTAAATGTCTGGTAGAAGTAGAGTAACCTTGCCTTTTAAAACGACAAAACCGTGGTCATGATCCTACCCACCTCGCCGATGTTCATGATGCATCGCCTTGACAAGCATGATCCTAACATCTCGGTCAGAGGTTATAAAGTAAGGAAGCAGCTAGAGCACCCAAGAAGTGGAGGAAAACACAACTACGTCTCATGTTTCTCCCTACACTTCTTTCGTGCTCTAGCTGCTTCTTTCGTGCTTTACAACAAAACAGACTACAGTCAAGGTTTCTTTACTTGTTAATTGCGAATAATGTAATTTAACTGAGAAGAGTCACCCTGTGGCTGTTGAATAAATCATTTTTATCATTGTTTGTCTGGCACAAAACCTGCAAGTGAGGGTTCCAGGATATTTATTTATCGCCTTGTCAAGTGCACCGCACCACACAGCAAAGCACTGTATATACGAGTGGAAATAGGTAACTACACATCAAAAACCTAGTTGTTCACAAAAGAATTGCACGGATTTCTAGTTTGCTAGCATCGCCTTTAGAATTAGAATAATGCCAGATATCAGATTCAGTCTTCTCTTCGCTCTGGGCGGCCTTTATAAGGTAAACAATACACATTACGCTTTTAATCGCAGTTTAACCAGTTGCAACTCTCCTCCTCCATAAATTACTATTAGTTATGTTGCACTTTTATTTATTGCTTCTTGAGTTTACCATTTTAGTCCATACAACCTTAATTAAACATGTAGATATGTGTTTTAATATTTTATGATGCTTTCTGCTCGGTGATTTAATCCATGCTCACGATTGTATTACTCTTCTCTTAAATAGTTAGCATTTACACCACTAAAGGAAAGGCAGGACACACGTACCACACGCATAATGTATTGTAAGACCGTTTGAGGGGTTTGATCATGTTCAGCGAACTCTCACAGACTTAGTTTTTTGTATTTTTGTACTTCAGACATAGAGGAATGTTCCGTTCAAACTGACAATTGCCACCTTAATGCGAACTGCACTAACACCAAAGGATCATTTCATTGTACTTGTCATACGGGATACTCAGGAGATGGCATAATTTGTGAAGGTGACTATTGATTTTGAAATAAGATTTTTATAAAAACATGCTTTGAAAAATAAGGACTTGAAATTCTATATACCTGTAGACTCAGAGCCTTATTTTTTTCTTCTGACTGCCATCCAGAAACAAATAGTAAATGGACATGGGCTAATACTAAACCTGTTGAGATTCATGAGCAAAAATGACACAACGCATGGCGTCTTTTAACGATTCTTTCTATTGGCCCCCACAAAGCCAGAAATAAAGGTTATAACTGAGCTACCAGGAAAGCTGCATGTCTCAGAATACAGCCATATTCAACCAGATAACAACGCACCGAACATTTTCACAGATATCGAGGAATGTCAAACTGAAATTGACAACTGCCATGCTGATGCCAATTGCACCAATACTAAAGGATCCTTTGATTGCAAGTGTTTTACGGGATACTCCGGAGATGGTGTCACGTGTGTGGGTAAGTGGCGACTACTTGTTACTTTGATATGAGGGTGAACCGAACCTCTCTGTTGAGGAACAAAATCAGCATTTTCCATCGTCCTAGACTGGGATCAAGCTTCTTGTAACGATTGATCCGTCGTGAATCTTAAGTAGTAAAGTGAAAACTAGAAAACTCTCACAAAAGGGTAATCTACCTAGCTAGGTACCCAAAGGTGGCAAGTAAAGAGATCTTTTCGACCATTTTACGCGGATGTTAAAATTATCTATAAGCAAAAGATCTGTGAAAGAGCAAACCACTTTTGAAGGGAATTTGTCCATTGCAATACTTTACAAAGCAAGTAAACTTTCACTACTTGTGCTATTCTACACGTAAATCTCCTAATAGACAATGAAACAGTTTCCATGCGGAGGGAAACTTGCTCATCAGAACCTTAGACTGCAAAATACCTCTTTGTACAATTATCTTAACCCGAACAAGTCTAGAAACTGAGAGAAGCTTAAAGTTTTTGGCTCAAGCCTTTGTGCAATAGCGTTCCTTAGTCCTAACAGAATGTAATGGTTAAAAGGCGGGAATTCTTCTCGTCAGGATAGTAACTGCATAATGTGTTTGCAATATCTAATTTATAGTGGCATCTTGTTTCATAATTCCCTCAGCTAATAGCCCTGACCTAGAAATCGTGAACAGCATTACACTCAGTTAACTGATGTAAGAGAGAGTTTCTACTGAATAATTGTGCAAGTAATTACAATAATTGTGCAAGTAATTAACTAGTTTCACCAAATAACCATTTACCGTGAGATAAGATGTTGTGAACTATTTCGTTTTAAAATATAATTAATTTCAAAGTTAAGTTAAGACAAAATGAATTCATTGTACTCTATTTTTAGGCTGCATAACTTAGAGCTGGCTAAATGTTCAAGGAACTTACTTTGGGTCAACAAACTATTGATAATATTACAAAAAAAGTATTTGTCGAGAAGAGATTGGTTTCTTTTTTGTTTGTTGGCTTTTTCAATTTAAACCAGGTCTTAGGGTTTAAATTGAGGAGGAGGGAGGCTTAATACCAATTTTCCAAAAAACATTTTTGATACCCTAAAAAGGAGTTGTTTTCATTGGAAAGGTCTTCTGTTATTTCCATTTGTTTCCTTTTAGACGTGGACGAGTGTTCAGTCGAACAAATACCTACTGATTACATTCATCTTGAGAACAACTGCCACGATGACGCCACTTGCTTCAACACCAAAGGATCATTCTACTGTACGTGTCATACAGGATACTCTGGTCATGGTGTCACATGCATTGGTAATGACCTTTCATTAACGTGCTCTTACTGTTGAGTTTGATTGTTTTATTCTGTATGCAGACCTCTTCAATGAATCAAAATTCTTCTTTGAAAACGCGAATACTTTTGGCAGAGTTGAATATTCATCCTATGATCAGAGTCCGAGTAGTACTTCTTTCTATGGAGGCTTCTGTGTACATCTGCTGAGGTTAATTTCTGTAAAACCTTACATTTCCCAGGTTCCATGCAAATAATGCAGGTTATGAGTCCCAAATTTTTTCGATGTTTCTGTATGAGTAGAATTAAACCGAATTCATTTTAAAATTCTGCCAAAAGTACACCATGTAGCGGGCTCGCTTGATTGTGCTAATAAACACTCGAATCAACAATTTTTTAGAAAGGGATTTTACTATAAAAATTAATGTTAAAAATTAACGACGTTTCGACCGCTCAACTGTCATTTTCAAGTTGAAGGATAAAATTTTTCATGATGCGCTTATAAAATCAATTGTAAAAATGCTAATGAGATGCTGACTAAAACTCTAAAATATTTACATAGAAACAATACGAAAAGGCAAAAGAAACAATTTTAAAAGTGAATCGATTAGGTAAATACTTTTGCACAGATCGAAACACTATGTTTGTTCAGTTTTGGTTTAAGTTCGTGAATAAAAAGCATTTCAAATATCAAACAGTCCAGTTTCCTCTGACATCTCTTCAAAATCTTGAAATTTTTTTCGTCCCTTTACGTGATTGCCGATTGTTAATCGCTTCTGTTCCTCCACACGTCGATGTAAGTGTCGGGTCGTGAAGCCGACCTAGTCTGCATCAAACAGACCACACTTGTAATAATAAACAAGGTTTTGTTGATTAACAATTGGAGGTTTGAGATCTTCCGGCTTGAATTGTTCTTTGATCCTCTGTCTTGTGTAAACGGGCTGGACATCGGCAACAATCACCGAGTTGGTGTCTTACCGCATTTAACAATTTCTGGTCTTTGAATGGTAGGACAGTTCTCATATGAGCATCATGTTCATCGGATACTTGTTATCTGGTAATTAAATCCTCAACTCTCATTTCACTAAAATGTCTGATGGTATTCTCTACGAGAGTTTCAGGATAATGTAGGCGAGCAAAAACCGTTTTTTCGAAGTTCACATTCTTGATGGAAAAACATCCAGTTCGAGGAGAGCTTAAACACATGGTTGAACATTGTCTTCAGCAGGGAATGTCTGTACTTTTCTTCAACATGGCTTTGGTAATGCAGTAAAAGTCCCGTATCAGTTGGTTTCACGTAGACCTGCGTGCCTAGTTGGGGCTATTTCTGATAATTATCATTCAAAGAGAGGGAAGTTTGCCGTTGTTCTCGAGTTTCATTGTGAAACTGAGTCAAGAGGGGATTTCATTCAGTGTGGACAAAAAAATAGAGGCAGATGAAACATCGGGCATTTTGCTCAGCGATTCATCGACATAGTGCTTATACAAAGCAGGCATCTTGTCTTGGTTTTCCATTTTTTTTCTGAACTATGGCACATAAACGCAATTTCCATTAATGGTCCGAGGCCCATAGCAGCCTTATCCACTTGCTCGTACAAATTTCCTTCGAATCGGAAAAGTCTCTTTTCGTAGCATACGCGAATACGTGGAAGTAACTTTGACAATGTTATGAAATTGGGTCAGCTAATTTCGATTTCGCTTTTTTCAGATATTGACGAATGTAACCTGTCTGGTTTGTCTCATGAATACAAACATCTGGCTCATAAATGTCACGGCGATGCTAACTGCACCAACACCAAAGGTTCATACAACTGTGGATGCCAGGAAGGCTATAGAGGAAGCGGTGAAAAGTGCGAGGGTGAGTTAGACTTAAATTTAAATGCTCTTCATTCTAAAGGTTTGGTCCTGCTGAGTTGGAAAGGGGAGATGTCAGAATGAATAAGCTTTATTTGGTTACAGAAAACAGCTGTTCCTTCCATTTAGCACATCAATTTTCCTAATATGTAGGTAGTTTAAGGGTGTGTAATCTTTTTTCTCTGTAAAGGAAGGGAAGAAGTAATCCTCGCAAACAAACCACGATGGATTAATGAAAAGCAAAGTTGGCATATAGCGGCACCTAGATCTCCTGAAAAGGTTAATGAAGGGATTAGCAATTTAACTATAACAACCGTAGAACTGAGGGTGTCCATACAAAGGCTTATTGATAATTCTAGTGGTTTCCCTCTCGGGCTAAAGGATTTTTAAGTGCTTAGGTTAGATTGTGATGATGTGCCCTCTCATTTCGCGACTTTCATTACGATTATATTAAGATATCGATGAATGCTCAACTGGAGCGCACAACTGTCACGTCGACGCCAACTGCACCAACACCAAGGGATCTTTCTTTTGCACTTGCCATACAGGATATTCTGGTGATGGAGTCTCATGCATTGGTACGTTAACTTTTTCAACTTCTCAAAGAAGCTTCATTCTTTTAGTAAGACTTTCTTATGATAGTATTTTCTTAACTATTCCACATCCAACCGTCATAACATCCTTTAACTGGCTTCCTAAAGATTCTATTTTTCCTCCAGATATTTCTGAGTGCGAGGACAAAACCTTGGCGCCTCATCACATCAGTTATGCCCATAATTGTCACGAAGACGCCAACTGCACAAACACCAAGGGATCGTTTTATTGCACATGTCATACAGGTTACTCCGGAGATGGTGTCATCTGCACAGGTACTTAAAGAAATCTGTTCAAGGACGTCAGAGCGTAAAGGAGGAACAAAGCGCAACACCTCTCTTTACTTTGGTTCGTTTTAAGGCGCGAATACTTTGTCTTGTTCCCTTTGACGCTGCAGATAATTGCAAGTCTGATATCTGATAAATGATATTTCTTTTTATTTTAAATGCATCCTATCTAGAAATCAATGAATGTCATGTTAACAATTTGGCTGAAGAACACTTACATGAATATTCCCACAACTGCCATACTGATGCCAACTGTACGAACACAAAAGGATCCTTCTACTGCACGTGTCTTAATGGTTACTCTGGTAATGGAGTAACTTGTGTAGGTAGGTAATTCCAGTAAAGGAAAGGCATCATGCAACTAGATGTATACCTGAGGTACAATGGCTCATTTATTTTATATTAACTTCGTTGTCACGACTTTACAAGACAAACATAAATACTATAATTCTAGTATCCCTAAGACTAGAAAACTCCTGATCCATAAGCTGAATTAGTGGCGATGAATTAATAACTGTCAGTGTTTTATTAAAGCTTTTGAGGAAGCATGAAAGTAAGTATGTTAAACTTATTCTTTTGGTGTTGGGTTTGAAATTGGGTCAATTATTTTTAGGACCGCTTTAGCTGATGGCCGAACCGGAATTTCTCGAAATAAACTATCATTATTCGGATTATTTAATTACTTATCTGTAACGATTGCCAGCGGAGCAGCGGATTCAACATGTATTAACTTTCATTTCAGATATTGAGGAGTGTGCAACAGAAATAGATAACTGTCACGTGGATGCAAATTGCACTAATACAAAAGGATCATTTTATTGTACATGCCATACGGGATACGATGGAGATGGAGTATTCTGTAATGGTAATGTGCTTTAACATCTTTTAAACGTTTAAGAATGTTAATGTTTGAAAATTAACTGCAATTCTTGATACTTAAATTAAAAATATTTCAAATTTGTGTTCATCAGACGTCGAGGAGTGCACCTCAAACATTCATAACTGTCATGCAGATGCCAACTGCACCAACACAAAAGGTTCATTCTACTGCACGTGCCGTACGGGATACTCTGGTGAAGGAGTCAGTTGCGCTGGTAAAGTATACTTTTCTCTAAAACCGTGTTTTGTTTGAGAAAGCAACTACAGTCGAGTTCTGAGCGAACCTCGCGCTGACTCGAACCAAAATCGATTTCCCCTGGATTTTCTTCATACATTTATTACAATTTTACCCTCGGTAACTCGAACCCTCGATCACTAGAACCTCCCGCTTACTCGAAGCAATTTTTGTTTCCCGTCAGGCAATTCTCTATTTATTTAAACCCTCGATTACTCCGACCACGTCGAATTACGTCTGTCAATACGTGAAAAATTCCAAACAAACAGTGTACTGTTGTCCAAAACGCTTGGTTCATTTCGAAGCAGCCGCGTCACATTACACTCTGATTTCATTTTCACTCGACTTCTCTACGAAGAAATTTTATTAAAATATATACTGTATAGGACATATTTCACAAACATAGTTCCTCTTTCAGAAACTTAATACTTGTTGTTGTACCCAGCATGTTATTACTATATTTCAGATGTGGACGAGTGTTCTCTTGAACTTATTTCTAATGACTACATACATCTTAAACACAACTGCCACGCCGACGCAAACTGTTCCAATACGAAAGGATCATTCTTTTGCACATGTCAGACAGGATATTCTGGGGATGGAGTCGCGTGTGAAGGTATCCCTTTTGATTTTGATATTTAGCTCTGATCCGATTCTGCACTGTTTTAGAGAGAAGTGCCCCTTAACGCTTACCTCACGTACTCCTAGGGCATTTAAGTGTTCTACGCAAATTCTGAAATAATTTTGTAATTAAAAAAAATGCAATTGCAAGTGTGAACATTTTTACAGTGTCAAATAATATTTTTTCTTCCTCTCTTTAAAAAGATATTGACGAGTGCTACCCATTAAGATTGTCATCCGAATACCAAGACTTGGCTCACATTTGTCACGATGATGCGAACTGCACAAACACAAAAGGATCTTACTACTGCACATGTTTAAACGGATACTCTGGATCAGGAGAGAACTGCACAGGTATTGTTTTCGCAGTTATCGGATTCACCCGTTCGAAACGTTATCATAGCGCAGAGTGGCTTTTGTTTGAAGGGCATCCACTTACTTAATGGGGTAAGTTACATATGTCGCACTAGAGCTCCCATTTGGGTTCTCGATGGACTCTAATTGGTTGCGGTTAGCCCTTACAAATGCAAATTTACTCAAAATTGTCTGCAGTTGCCAATACCCAGGGGAACTGAACTGTCCATCAAATGTACAAGTAGAGAATAGACAATAGAGTTCCGAGCAATCCCTATGGCTTGTTACGATCATATGATCATTTGGTAGTCAATCATGTATCTCTTTTGCGCCGGACAGCTGCGCTGAATTTCGATGAAATGCCAGCAGTCTTTCCCCGAAACACCTTTGTGGTCTTCAGAATTAATGCTATGAGCGGTTTCAACACAGTTTATGCCTTATCTTCTTTCCAGACCTCAACGAGCAGAAGTTTTACGTATTCTCGAATGTCACACACAATTTCTGTCTTCGCTACTGCCATATTTAATTCTATCTTATCCAGAGCTGATTAATCATTCGCGCGATACTTAATTTGAATGCGGACAATGCGCTTACGAACCGAATTGGACTGAATTGGACTGAATTGGACTGAATTGGACTGAATTGGACTGAATTGGACTGAATTGGACTGAATTGGACTGAATTGGACTGAATTGGACTGAATTGGACTGAATTGGACTGAATTGGACTGCCACAAATGGATTATTCAATCAGTTGAATATAGCAGATATTTATCAAAAAGAATTATTATCATGTAGGAACGAAATGTGGAACATGCGCGGAAGAAATCGATACCAGAATAGGACCCTAATACCAGGAACTATTGAACAATTCGCGCATGCGTCAGTTAGTAGAGCACGAGAAACGTGCAGCCGAGAGCAACCCCAGCCTTATGAGGGCATCCAAACTTCTGATGACGTACACACACGTCAACCACAGCAAGATGCGATACCAATTTTTTCTGTCTTAGATATTGATGAATGCGCTTTGGAGACGCATAACTGTCATGCAGATGCAAACTGCACCAATACTAAAGGATCATTCTACTGCACATGCCATACGGGATACTCAGGAGACGGAGTCAGTTGTTTGGGTATGTATGAACAATAGTAGCCTTTCCAGAGATGTTTGCATAAAACAATGCGGGTTAGTTTTCGACTATTTGCTAGAAGAGATCTGCATAGAAGAATATTCACATTGTTATGTCAAGGACACTATTTATGGCGATAATTTTGTGGTTCATTTCGGGTGTACCCCATGATGCTCACTATGATAAACGCACAATTTTTTTTACGTAGTATTTACTTTTTCAATTACAGATATTGGCGAATGTCAGATCGACAGGCTTGCATCACATCACATCAACCAATATGCCCACAATTGTCACGACGATGCAAACTGCACAAATACTAAAGGTTCATTTTATTGCACCTGCCATCACGGCTACTCAGGAGACGGTGTAATTTGTGCAGGTAGGTAACTGGCTTTGTCGATTGTGACTGTGAGAGTGCTTCTCCTCAAATCGTTTCCTTGCTTAAAGCAGGGGAGGTATATTGTGTTCAAGAAGGATAGTAAAGATTAAATAAAACTTGTAATTTAGATATAGGAAAACTACTTGATGTCCAGCGAGCATAGACTTAAATGACTACTTTTTTTTGGTTATTCACGCAGTGAATGGTAACTTCTTTGACTTTACATCCGGAATTTTACTTAGATATCGACGAATGTCATGTGGACGGTTTGGCTTTAGGACATGAGGATAAATTTTCCCACAACTGCCATGCTGATGCCAACTGTACCAACACGAAAGGATCATTCTACTGCACGTGTCTTATTGGGTATTCTGGAGATGGAGTCACGTGTTTAGGTAATTCTTAGTTCATCCAGACGAAGTCCTTAGTCGTTTTCGATAAAAAAAACTCCTGATCCATTTGTAACTTTACGTACTAAATTTTTTGCATTATGCATTTCGAAATCATAGCAATTCGCATTCTTTCACCTCTCCGACTGGTTTCCAGAAGTCCTTACTCTGCAACTGGCTTACAGCAATCAGATTTCGAACCAAAAAAACATTGTAAAACGACAGATGCAAAAACAAATTCACCAGGCCGCTTTTCGGAATCTGAAAACCAGTTACCATATACTTGTTGGGTTGTATTCAATACATTTTAACCTTACAAAATCTTTCACTAGAATAAACTCATTAAAAGGAGAAGTAATAAAGATATCTGAATCAATCATATGACAACCCAGAAAGATAGCAAAAACGTTTTCTTAGATATTGAGGAATGTACCACCGACACGGACAACTGCCATGATGATGCCAACTGCACAAATACTAAAGGATCCTTTCTCTGTACTTGTAACCATGGTTACTCCGGAGATGGAATCACCTGCGAAGGTAGGCCATTAGTCTAACAGGAATTTATCATTCCATCGTTTTTGCAATTTTCGCAAAGTTACTATAAAACAATCACTGCCTTGTGACTTACGTGCTGAGATAAAACGGTCAATGGGATACATTGGTATTTCAATGTTACCAAACTGAACTAACACATTAATTTAAATTTTGGCTTTTATTAGATATTGAAGAATGCTCCTCGAATATTCATAACTGCCATGCTGATGCCAACTGTACAAACACTCAGGGCTCTTTTTACTGTACTTGTCATATGGGATATTCCGGAGAGGGAGTCAGCTGTGTTGGTAAAGAGAAACATCTTTTAATCTAGAGGTGAAAAACAAGTAATGAAAAATGACTAAAAAGGAACTTTACCATTGCCTGGATACCAAGCGGAAGTCCATATAATTACTTGTAAACCCTACCGTCGCCTTTTAATGGGGTGACTTTCAATCTTAAGCCTCTCTTTACTGCGAGGCGAGCTTCGAAGATCAAATAATGTACACAGACAGACCTAGAGGTTGTTTTAAGCCTATTTCAAAATTGAATTTCAGCCGGGGCATACAAGGTCACGTGAGATATGTGATGGATTATGAGTAGGTTATCGATATTGGAATATTATTCAATTTTCAATTCTTTTCTTTCAGATGTGGACGAGTGTTTCCCCGAACAGATATCTGATGATTATCGTCACCTTGAAAACAACTGTCATGCTGACGCCAATTGTTCCAACACTGAGGGCTCCTTCTTTTGCACCTGTCATTTGGGGTATTCTGGTGATGGAGTCACGTGTTTCGGTAAGTTTTTTTACGTTCTCAGTCATTTTTAGAAAGGAATGTAGAACAGAATAAAGTCCTCGAAATATAGCAGAGGTCAAATTTACATTTCATATCAGTGTGAAGTAAATGACAAAACATAAATTCGAGTTTGTCTTTCTCAAATTGGTTATAACACTCAAATAGCCGACAAACACGTTAATGTACGGGAACTCCCAGTAAGAACATTAGCCATGCTTCGTGTTCAAACTTGTTGGAAAAAATTCTTTGCCTCGTTAAGTTTGATTGTTTTTCATTGCCAGATATTGATGAATGCAATCCAACTGCGTTGTCATCAAAGTACCAGGACCTTGCACACATCTGCCACACTGATGCTAACTGTTCAAACACAAAAGGATCGTACTACTGCACATGTCTCACTGGATACTCTGGAGACGGTATCTCTTGTCAAGGTCAATAATGAATCTGGCCAGAAAATTGTCCTATAAATAACCGGCGAAATCTGGAGAAAGTATATCGGCATGTTGTAACCCATTAACTATCTGATGGCATTTTTATCATAACTGGAGCAGGGACCGCTTTGCGTTCCAATTAGTGAATTTTGTTTCTCTCCTACCATTCGTCTACCCCAACCAACATTGGCTATCTTATTCTCCCTCTCGCACAAGAGAGGGATATATTAATCTTTCTCTTTGACGTAGATATGGACGAGTGTTCCACTGGAACACACAACTGTCATTCTGATGCCAACTGCACGAACACGAAAGGATCATTTTATTGCACATGTCTAAAGGGATACTCTGGAGACGGAGTATTGTGTGAAGGTATCAAATATGTCTTCTGACCACTACCAATTAAGTAGCTGTAAGATCGTCAAGTAGTGGCATATCTAAGTTTCAACATGTCCTCTACCATCACAAACAAGAACGGTTAAGAAGGTATTGCATGCCTTCGCTTCGGTGTTTTTATGCTAGACATAAATACTAACTTAAACTTGAATGAGCCTGGTCAGTTGTGTTGGCGATATCGATTTCAATAACATCCATTTTCACTTAGATATCAATGAATGTCACGTGAATAGTTTGGATCAACAACACGTGGAGGAGTATTCCCACAACTGCCATGCTGATGCTAATTGTACCAACACTAAAGGTTCTTTCTATTGCACTTGTCATCATGGATATTCCGGGGATGGAGTCACATGCCAAGGTATGAAATATTCAGTGGATGTCACCGTTTGTAATTTCCTATCCAGTGCGAGTTGTTTACTAATCAAATTTTAAAATTATCTTTCTAATGAGTTCGCGTCTTTTAGATGTCAATGAATGCTTTCCGAATGAAATATCTGAGGAATATGGCCATCTCGCCCATAACTGCCATGCTGATGCCAACTGCACCAACACAAAGGGATCCTTCTACTGCACCTGTGTCAATGGTTATTCTGGTAATGGAGTAAATTGTATCGGTAAGTTCTGACAGTAGAAAACGATGTTATAACATAGAATATATTTACCCTAATAACGCATCGACTCTCATCAAACTCCTGATCCATTTAATTTATTAAACTTAAAAGTTTCATACGCCTAATCATAAGTTCCATACATTTAACGTTTACTCTGGTCAACTCTTTTTAATATAAGCTTCATATTCTACTGACAGCGTCTACATTCAAATATTGGGAAAATGACTAACTGGCGACCTTTAAAATTGTTTTGGTTAGGCCGTAGGTCGGCTATAACTAATAATCATAGAAAACAATTCAAACGTTGCCCCTTGAAAAGTATAGATAAAAACACGCAAGACGTGACTTGCATTTCGCTTACATTCCCACCTTAAAAGTAAATGCCTAGAATGGACCTCACTCAGCCGTTTAATAAATTATCTGTCATTGCAAAAGATATTGAGGAATGTACTACAGACACGGACAACTGTCACACTGAGGCCAATTGCACCAACACCAAAGGATCTTTTTACTGTACCTGTCGCCATGGGTATTCTGGAGACGGTGTCACGTGTGATGGTGTGTATAACTCAATTATTCAAATTATGATTTAAATTGTTATATGATGTAATATACGAGCTTCGAGATAAGGGCTGCTAATATTTGATCGCACCCTTTCTGCAGATGTTGATGAGTGTTCACCCGGTCAGATTTCTCAAGAATATAAACATCTTGTGCATAATTGTCACGTTGATGCAAACTGCTCCAATACCAGAGGATCGTTCTACTGCACATGTCACACAGGGTATTCTGGAGACGGAGTTACATGCATTGGTAAATTTACACATATTGATACTATCACTTTACCAATAGATAACATGGCTGACTCAGTTTTCCCCCTCCCCCTTCCCCTCCTACCTTGCTTGAGTTTCCTTTTAGGCCTGAGGTTGTGGTCCTTGGACCGTTTATCATTCAATGTTTTTCAGGTCCTACAGTTTACGTTGCTTACTTAAAAAAAAAAAAATCGATTGGTTAAAGGGAGGGGGGAAGAAAAGAAACCGCTCCTTTCTCAAAAATGTATCTTCTCATTACAGACATACAGGAGTGTGCTATTCAAACAGATAACTGCCACAATGATGCAAATTGCTCCAACACCAAAGGGTCATTTTACTGCACGTGTCATTCGGGATATTCCGGAGATGGTATCACCTGTAATGGTATGGTAATGTTGCTGAAACCGTTATTCGTAGGCATTTTTATTTAAGTGACAGTCTCGCTCTCTTTATCACACACAGATATCGATGAATGCGACCCATCTGGACTGTCATCTGATTATCAACATCTGGCCAACCAATGTCATGGTGATGCTAACTGTACAAACACTAAGGGCTCATACAACTGTGGCTGTCAAGAGGGTTACTATGGAAGTGGAAAAGACTGCAAAGGTAATAGTGATTTATTGGCTTCAATTTAAGTCCTGGGGGAAACTGAAACACTATAAGGAAACCACACTTCATTTTCAGATATCGATGAATGCACATCTGGAACACACAATTGCCATGTGGATGCCAACTGCAGCAACACAAAAGGTTCATTTTATTGCACTTGTCATGCGGGATACTCAGGAAATGGAGTTACTTGCGTTGGTAAGTAGGATCTTGGCTGAGTGAAACAATAATTTTGAAAATTAGTCTTTTAATCATGCTATCGAAAGAGAGAAAAGAGTCACCCCTCAAAAAGGCTCTATTCATTGTTGATGCTGTTGTTGTCCTTTAATAAGATATCAGCGAGTGTCAGCTGGATACCCTGTCAAGCAATCATGTCCAGCAGTATTCCCACAACTGCCATGGTGATGCTAACTGCACTAATACTAAGGGATCGTTCTACTGCACCTGTCACCATGGCTACTCTGGAGATGGAGTCATTTGTGTTGGTAACTACATACCTTATGCTTTCTTTTCTTTTGCTAATGAGAAAATATTGATTTCTGATTTCGTTCATTTGAAGATTTATGACGCGAAAGAGGAAGGGATGGAAACGTTGCACTCTTTTCTTAAACTCTTCTGAAAGTAATGCAGTCATCGCTGTTCCAGTTTTCCATCTGTATTTACACCTACGACTTTCAGCTGGGCTCTAACTTGTGGAAAATTACGAGACATAATCAGCGTGTAACCAACCTCAATCCATGGGGAACAAATTTTTCAAAAAGGTTTTATCTGACTAAAAGCTCTCATGGTTCTCTCTTTCCAGATATAGATGAATGTTTTCCATTACAACTATCATCTCAATATGAGGATTTTGCACACAATTGCCATGACGACGCCAACTGCACTAATACCAAGGGGTCCTTCTATTGCACTTGTCATCCAGGATATTCAGGGAACGGTGTCTACTGTGTCGGTATGTAAATATAACAATCAAATGGTAAATGTCAACTCATGATTCATGCATTCCTAATCTAACAACTTATATGCGACTAACTCCTGGTCTATAACCCTAAAATAATTTAACTGTTCATTATGACTCAATTAGGAGGTGAATTTAATCTAGCTTCTTTCCTGGTTTATTTTGTTACCAAATGCCCCCTTAGTATCCCCTTTCTTAACTTTGTTTTGTTGCAGACATCGAAGAATGTAACAAAGATACTGACAACTGCCACGCTGATGCCAACTGTACGAATACCAAAGGTTCATTCTACTGCTCGTGCCATGAGGGGTACTCGGGGGATGGAGTTATTTGCTCAGGTATCTTAATCTCGCTTTGTGAAGGTCTGTTATTACTTGAAACCATTAACTATATAAAATGATACGAAACAATAGTTTGCTCTGTGTTATTCAGTGACCTTAATACGAAACAAGATTGCCAACCATTCTAACCTTTTGAAAAGCTTCTGAATGGAATATAAACGACTGTGAATATATGAAAGTCATGTATTTGAACTGCGGATAAAGACGTGAATATGAAAGTGATCTTCGCAGTATTGAACACTAGTTGAGCAGTAGTGAAAATAAGGCCTGAAAAAATTCAGGCTTGTACGGAATTTGAGCCCATGACCTCTGCGATACTAGTACAGTGCTCTACCAATTGAGCTAACAAGCCAACTGGGAGCTGGTCATTATGTTGGTTCCAAATAAACCCGTGAGGAGGTGAATAGACGACTGTGAATATATGAAAGTCATATGTTTGAACAGTCGTTGTTAATGTTAATGTTGTAGATCTGAACGAATGTGTCATTGGGACCCATAACTGTCATGCTGATTCCAACTGCTCGAACACAAAGGGTTCATTCTACTGCACATGTCTGACTGGTTACTCGGGAGATGGGGTCGGTTGCGTTGGTATGTATGGAAACGTTTGTTTTATGACTAACGATAGTATTGACCAAGTATTATCTTAAGGGACGTTACCATCCATAACCGCCGCTTCGAATATTTTCACTTATTTTATTGGTTTGAATATTTGAATACATGCATTATGAAAGAGAGACAAAAAAAATTATGTGGTAATAGAAAACCTGTTTACAAAGACATTGATTGAAACACAAAAGAAATTAAGAGTACGCTTACATAAAGAAAATTACGAGAAGTATACTTTTTTATTTTGTTTGATGTTATATCAATATCCTCATTAATAAAAATTCAAAAAGGCTGAAATGAAACAGATATCGAGAATCTCACTTTCTTAGAATGTGAGCATTTACGTTCTTCGTAACATGTATGATCAGAATTTAGATCCTCTTTTTTATGATATTTTTTTCAGACATAGACGAATGCTCTCCTGGTAGTATTTCTGGTCAGTATAAAGATCTTGCGCACAACTGCCATGTCGATGCCATTTGCTCCAACACAAAGGGATCATTCTACTGCACATGTCATAAGGGATACTCTGGAGATGGAGTTATTTGTCAAGGTAACTAAAGAATAAAGAAGAAGTCTGTATGGCGGAACCTGCTTTTTTTCCCGTAGTTTCGGACAAATTAATTGACGCCCATGCATTAATTTCTAGTAAGTATAGTGTGTGATTTGCGATCCTTGCGATTGTTTTTTTTCCACAGACGTGAACGAGTGTTCCCCTCCTAGTCTGTCATCTGAATATCAACATTTGGGAAACATTTGTCATGACGATGCCAACTGTACTAATACCAAGGGATCATACTACTGTACCTGTTTAGTAGGGTATTCAGGGGATGGAGTCACATGCCAAGGTGAGATATTTCTTTATCTTTTCCCAATAGCAACTTCATTTAAAACAGGTTTGCTGAGTTTTGACGCCTTGGTCTTCTTCTCCATACACAGATATCGATGAATGTTATCCAGATAGTATCTCTGATAAATATGAACGTCTTGCTCACAATTGTCATCCGAATGCAAATTGCACCAATACCGAGGGCTCATTTTATTGCACGTGCAAAACTGGTTTCTCCGGCGATGGGGTCACGTGTGAAGGTAAGGTGGTAAAACAAACACACCTCTTGACATTGCTTCTTTTGAAGCTTATTAAAACATTTAGAAATGACTAAAGTTTTTCTCGAGAACACTTGTTTCCTATTCATATTTGTTACACCATAGATATCAACGAATGCCACCCAGATGATTTAGCACCATCCCACAGTTACTATGCTCACAACTGTCATAATGACGCCAACTGTACCAACACAAAGGGATCCTTCTTCTGCACTTGTCATACGGGATACTCAGGAGATGGAGTGATTTGCGAAGGTACCAATAAAATCCATTGTTTCCTCAAGTCGGAAAACATGTTTCCTCTTAGTCATTGTTAGAATAAAGGCCGTGGAGGCTGATCAATGAGGTATAGGTTTGAGCGATCTGCAATTTTTCAAAATATGTTACAAATGATCCTTCTTTACCTCCTTAATCTTCCGCAGTCATGTCACGTCATTTTTTTTTTCTTTTTTTGGGGGGGATGGGCTGTTCGAGCCTCTCATTTAGGGGAGATGTGGGAAAGAGCGGCAAGTGACAAACAGTGGTTGCAGCTGCCTCCATTTTTTCTTTACCTGATCTCGGCCATTTTTCGCAGAACCGCCCGCTATTTTGCTTATTTCCTTTGAGCGAGTGCCTTGGGCGACGAGCTCAAAGAATGAGTATAGTTTATTTGAAAATGTATCGAACTGACACCATTTCCTCTATGATTCAGGTATTCTATATTCCAAATGTACAAGAGAAGCTTAAATTGAGGGAGACCTATGTTGTCTCGGGGGGTTTAAACATATGATTCACTTACTCTTTGATTAATCCTTTTATCTCCTCAGATGTGAACGAATGTCACCCAAGTGAAATCTCTGAGGAATATAAAAACCTTTCTCACAATTGTCACGTAGACGCCAATTGCACCAACACCAAGGGCTCATTTTTCTGCACATGCTTAAATGGGTATTCAGGCGATGGGGTCATGTGCGTTGGTGAGAATCAGTTGATATGAAAGTGTAATGAATTAACGAAAATTTAGTTAGCTGCATTCATCCAAACTGATGATGTAACTAAGGATAATTACATAACGCCCTGTTTCCTGTCGCAAACTTCTAATCCTGATCCATATTGCTAATAGCTAACGCTGGTAACAATTCCCTCCTTACTATGCATCAGAATATCTTGAACTACGGTATATTTGAGCTAATACATAGTCTTGATGCCACTTCTTCAGTCCAGGTAAGTTCAAATGATATTTGATGCGATGCTAACTTGTCGTGCTTCTCATCTTTTGCACGTAATTTAGTAATATCACATGCACTTGACAAATACAGCTCTGATATCAACAATTTGATACTAGTTTTTTTACTTCTTTTCATATTTTATCATATCAACCTTCCTTTTCCAAGACATTGAAGAGTGTCTGACCGCCAGAGACAACTGCCACTCGGACGCTAACTGCAGCAACACCAAAGGATCATTTTATTGTACTTGCCATACGGGATATTCTGGAGATGGAGTCGCTTGTGTGGGTAAGAGAGCATAGTTATGATGTTGATCCACAAAACGATTTCCCATTTGCCATAAAATGAAAAGAATTGTAAACCATCAGATGAAATCCTTTAAGGCGAACCATTCGGTATGGCAATAAAATTGAACAGTGAGACACGACGTTTCGACCAAACTTCGGTCATTTTCATTTGAATGATAGGAATGTCACGATGAATATAAATATACGCGTGTAAGAAGTGTAAAATTTTTTTTGGAAGTGTAAACGGACATTAAGAACACACAAAGAGAAAAATAATCGCAAGCTAATTACAATAACCAAATTAAAAATAAAAATAAAAATTAAAAACCTAATTAAAAACCTTGTACGAATTGAGTCCGACTGCACATTGAAAGCAGGTCTCAGTTCTTGAATAAAACCACATTTCATAAACTAGGCGGTCAAATTTGTTCGTACACCTCTTTAAATACAAAAATTCTTCGTACGATTCCTTGGGGCCAAAGAATGCTTGTCGCGAAAATGCTAGCCAATAGATGAAGTCGAGTTTCTGTGTTCTTGAACACGTTGGTGCAGATGCAGATGGCGGCGTGTAAAACCAACATAACCTGCACTGCACAGGCCACATTTAAATTTGTGCAGATGCAGATGCAGATGCAGATGGCGGCGTGTAAAACCAACATAACCTGCATTGCACAGGTCACATTTAAATTTGTAAACAGGCCACTGTTGATTCACAACCGCTGGTCTCGCTCTTCGTAACTTGAGATCTTGTTCGATTTTCTGGTTGACAAATAGAGGCTGTACAGTCGTGTGGATCTTCTGACTCAAATCGTTAAGTCGAACACGTACGATATCAGCTGAGGTAGGACAACACGAATGGGGTCTGTTCGATCGCTTACAGTCGGTGAGGAAACAGGTTGATCCGATGCATTCGGTATGGAATCCAAAAGAAACATAAACTCAGTACAACTCTAACGAAAACGCAGATGCTACAACCACGATAGTACTTTTTTCATGGATCTTCATAGAAATTTTGGATCAATATCAGTATCTGGGCAACTGCCCACCCACCCCTCCCCTAACTCAACAACAGTCGATTGACAACAAGTTAAGGTTAATGTTGGGTTAACAGAGGGGTAGGTGGGTAGTTGCCCAGATACTGATATTGATCCGAAATTTTAATATTTCCCACTTTTGAAAATTTTTCCTCACTGTCTTCTCTATCTGTCCATTAGATATTAACGAATGTTCTTCGGACATGTTGTCTGTCAACCACACACATTATGCTAATGACTGCCATGATGACTCAAACTGCACCAACACAAAAGGATCCTTCTACTGCACGTGTCTCGATGGATATTCCGGAAATGGGGTCTCTTGCGTCGGTATGTCCTCAGTTAACTTCAAAAGAACTGCTCGCCAAATTTAATTCCCTCATTTTCATTTGTCCACGTGATTTCTGGGTGATTTCCATTGTTCTCTTTCTAGACGTGAATGAATGTGATCCTGATGGAATCAGCGACATCTACAAATATTTGGTGCACAACTGCCACAATGATTCCAACTGTACCAATGCAAAAGGCTCATTTCATTGTACCTGTTTAATTGGATATACCGGAGATGGCGTTTGGTGTGAAGGTGAGACGACTGGAATGGAATATTTTACGGCGACTGTTTAGTTGTTTTCAGTCCATTTTTATAATAACAGTCTCGAAAAGCTCCTTTTTCTCTTAGATCAAATAATAAAGGCTTGCAAATTCAAACAATGAAGAGGTCACGAAACGAAATAAACTGGATTAACTAACCTTTTTCCCCCAAAATTCACATAAAGCACGGCTTGAGCACCTCAAGTCATCAGGAATTTTAAAGAACAAGCACCATAGAGATTTTAAATTGCCATGAGTGCAACAAACTTCCACTCTTAATGGCCTCTGAGCATGGTATTTTATATAAATATGTTTGTACAAGTCTCCTATTTCAAATAGACATCGACGAATGCTACGCAGAAACCGACAATTGTCATGCTGATGCAAACTGTTCCAACACCAAAGGATCATTTTACTGTACGTGTCACTCGGGATATTCTGGAGATGGGGTGATTTGCGAAGGTAAAATGAGGATAACTTTAGTTTGAAAACTCTTCAACTCATAACTCGAAATTCAATTTTTATCAGACTGTAATATCCTTCATACAATAGATCTCCCCCTCCTTTTTCCCGTCCTTATTCGAGAAGACTGCAACGTCTAACCATTTGACAGATGTCACAACAAAGGCTACACATTCTCCTCAGCTATTTTAATTTAAGACCCTAAATGTTGGTGCGGTCTGGGGCTTGAACCCTCGATGATCCTCCCACAAGGCAGTCTGGTGCTCTAAACCTGAACTATCCAGGCGGCGGCGTTATCTAGTAATGAGAATTAGAATTTCTGCAATATGTTTACCATAGAGGTATTGAACATGTGATATATTACGTCTTTAAGTCTCTTCACGTTGATTTACCAATATTGCGGCATACATCGAATATCAAACGCTTTTTTACATTTTTTTAGACATCAACGAGTGTTCTCCACATGATCTGGCGGCCAACAACTCACATTACGCGCATAATTGCCATGCTGATGCTAACTGCTCCAACACCAAAGGATCATTTTACTGCACATGTCACGTGGGATACTCTGGAGATGGTGTTATGTGTTTGGGTGAGTTTCCATCTGCTGACGTATATATTTACTTCGGCTTTGTTAACCTTTTCAAGACTCAAGGGGTCATTTTACATTTGTTAAAGTTAATTGTAATTATAAAACTTAAACCATCATTTGGCATGTCTTAAATTATTGTTGGACCACTTGAACCACTTTCTCTAGATATTGACGAATGTGAAACTAGTACTGATAACTGCGACGTGAACGCCCACTGCAACAATACCAAAGGATCCTTCCGGTGCACTTGCAAAGTTGGCTATTTTGGAGATGGCGTTGTGTGTAAAGGTGCGTTATCTGTAAGAAAACGAAATCTGTAAAACGAAAAAAAATTATCGTGTTGATAGTTAAAGCGGACAGTTTTCTCTTTCGTGAGGACACTCGCGCCCTGACCTACTTAAGTCATTTAAAAGATCGATTCATGTTCTTGAATTTATTTTAGTATTCAGCATGAAATAACACGACCAGCTCTGAATAATAATAATTTGAAATGAAAGTTTACAGTAGATTAGTTAAGTTGTGTATCACATTTGCTGTCGTAGATATCGACGAATGCACTGAAGACATACATAACTGCCATGATGATGGTATTTGCATCAACACAAATGGATCATTTTATTGCCTTTGCCAAGAGGGTTATACCGGCGATGGCGTCAATTGCACAGGTAATGATTTTCGTGATCGAACCCATTTTTTTATGATTTCCCTCTTCGTATGAGCGTGTGTGTTTTCACTTTCCGTTTTATGCTCTACCTGAGGAAAACCTTGATTCATGATCTTACAGCGCTGTAAGGCAGTAGTAATTAACCATTATTAGATGAGGTTGAGCAAAAAAAAACTGATTTCTGGACAAAACTACGCACGAGTAGGATATGTCAGTAAAAGCCAATTGATGGTATTAGGCATGAGTGTACCATACATTATTAGGCAGTTGTTTAAAAGACAATGAAAAGAAGGAAAAATTAAAGGGGTGAAAATTTATAGTATCTGACTTTGCAAAACGACACACTAAAATTTGAAGCTTTCAATAACTAGAAACTTGTTATCAAAGTTAAGAAACGAAAAAGGATAATACGGCATAGCAGCAGATGAATTTCTTTAACATAAACCCTCTCTCTAAGTTCTGAGAGGAACTTCATTTTATTGATCTCAGTTCTACCGAGTCATTTGACACCCATTCTCCAATATGTATCCTTCTTCCTTTTACCAGACGTGGAAGAGTGCAGCCTGAGCATCCATACCTGTGATGAACACGCAACGTGCACCAACACAAAAGGATCATTCACTTGTGCCTGCGATCGTGGTTATCATGGCACAGGCTACAAGTGTGTCGGTGAGACTAGAAATAGACGCTTAGTAATGGATTGATGTACTCGACTTGTGCCAAAATACCCGATAACATACTCAGTTTTTAATCTATGGATCTGTTATTTTAGATACTGACGAGTGTAACTACGATTTGGATGACTGCCATGCTGATGCACTTTGCATTAATACCAATGGATCCTTCAACTGTACATGTTTGAAAGGCTACTCTGGAGATGGTGTTTTCTGCGAGGGTAAGGGGAGAATAGAATATTTTCTTTCTTATGAAAGCAGATTACAAAATTAAAAGGGCTAAAACACTTCTGAAGAACAGACGAAGAATCAGTTATTAATAGTGAGTATGAGCATGATGTTTACAGAAACGGCAAATGGCAAAAACGAACTTTAATTTTTCCTAGCCTACTCCATACTCCTTGAAAATTTCATTCACTCCTTTTATTGTTGTCGTGTTTTTAATTTTGCACATTTACTTATAGAAGAAGCTTTTAGTTTTAGTAAAGACTCAAGTTTGGCATGACATATTTTCAACGATAAGGAAAATTACAGCTTTTTCTCAGATACATCCTTCAGTCTGGATGGAGCCGATGATTAATGGTTGATGTCCTTTTAAAAAAATGCATCTTTTTAGATATTGACGAATGTGAAACAGCAACGCACAACTGCAGCTGGGGTGCTTCGTGCAACAATAGGAAAGGATCTTTTTACTGCACCTGTTCCCCTGGATTCTCTGGGGATGGTTTCCGCTGTGCAGGTGAAAATATGATACGTCTATTAAAGTAAATTTTAATTAACCCACGTAATTCGAAAGTGAGAATACAGCGTTCTTTCGATTAATAAAAGGAAAACAAAGCAAAACATGGGAAACTAAGAGAACACGAATAACAGTGTCTTTCATTGACGCTCACATTTCGATTCATGAACGTGTCCGCAAGAAATCGCTTGTAACTGGATGAAGGCAGTTAAAAATATTGAAATATGAACGTATCTCACCGTATGTACATTCTAGCAGATCAGCTACGTTTATCATATTTCTTCTTTAAAAATTATCCGTAGGAATCTTGCAGTGCATAGCAGGTACCTTGGTGGCTACTTTTATTGATTTTTTCGTTTTTGGTCCATGTAACTTTCTGGCAGATATCAACGAATGTGAAGTTCTAACACACAACTGCCATCCTGACGCCGAATGTACCAACTTGAACGGTTCTTTCTACTGCACTTGTAACCACGGATTTCGTGGAAATGGAACAGATTGTGAAGGTGCCTGTTTATAAAAATTGTGATCAAACTTTATTTTTCAGTCATTGCCTTATCAAAGCTGTTTACGCTGCATGGCCTACCTTATCCGAAAAGATGCATTTCATCGTAACATCCCAGTTGACCATGTGACCCCACAGCATACACCGACACACATGTTGATATCCGCCCATGATATAAAGCAGGATATTACAGGATAAAATCAAGAAAATAGTTAAAACAGCTGCATCTTTGTACTGCTGATGAAAAGTAAAACAAATAACTATTTCTCCATCTATTTAGCATTTTAGCGGTCTTTAAAATTAACGTTCTCATAAACATATTGGCGCAATTTCACCAGCACGATGATTTTATTTTTTTAAAGATTTGGACGAGTGTTCAGGCAAGTCACATAACTGCAAGGGATCGTCTATTTGCAATAACACGCACAGCGGCTTCAACTGCATTTGCTTGGCAGGATATCGCTATAATGGTTCCGATTGCTGGGGTATGTATCTTGCACCAAGTTCAGCGTAAAAGAAATCTGTCTAATAAAACCGTGGCTCAAAACTCTTCCGCTCTCGATTTGAGTACAAAAATTCTTCAGTGATGATGGTTGACGTGGTATAAGTTTTAAAGAGGATTGGTTCAACAGTAAAAAGCACGGAGGCCCCCTCATTTGAAACACTTTTATCGCTAACTCAGCGGACATGTTGAAACAGAGTACGAAGTTTCATCGAAAATCTATCGCAAGCTGTATTTCCAGGGAATCAGCTTGATGGTGCATACTACTGGGGTATTAAGGAGACATTTGCCTTGCAACATTTTTCATAAGCTTTGCAATGATTCTCGATTGAAATTCTTGTATATTTACACTTTTGGTGATTTCTAAAAATGTGGTTCAATAATACTGAAATCACAGCGATAAACAAGGAGACTGAGTACAGCCAAGGGGCCTGACGTTTTAGTTATCTAGCTCAAAATAGTTTCCTTGTTTTGCTTTCCATTCAACTTTTTTTTTCCTCTTTTACAGACATCGACGAATGCAGTGAACAAACACATAACTGTCATGAGGTGTACGGTGTCTGCACCAATCAGGCGCCTTTCTTCCTATGCACTTGTGCATTGGGTTCTAAAGGAAACGGAACTTATTGCGTTGGTTAGTTAAACAAATATTTGATTTCCTAGTGAAGTAATTGTTTCGAAACATTTTTCATTTTAGGGAAGGCAAGCCAGCACTCATACAAAGTAAAAAACTTCCACGCCACCTTTCATACAATGACATTGGCATAAGGGTTGATTTTGGTGTCGTAAACATTGTTCTAATTATCAGTCAATTATATTCTAGTACAGGTCAGCCCAACCATATGCATGATATCATTTCCCTCAAGCTCTAGATCTCGTTTACAAGATTGACTTAAAGCTCCCAGCAAATAACTGGATTGAGGAATATCGATTTTCCAATACCACCCAATTTCAGAAACTTTCCCAGGAAATAGAGCAAGGGGTACGTATGTTATCAAATATCATACCTTTTCCTCCTACTTTTTATTGTTGTGAATGATAGTTCTTCCTTTCCGTCGATTGTCACCCTCAAACTGTATGATGATATGTATATTTTTTTAGGTTGATTACGTATACACAAGTGATGAATCTTTCTTACGGATGTATGTTGCCGCCCTTCACAACAGGTATTTGCACTATGGAATTTGTTTATTAATAATACCAGCGGCTGCTTAGGGGAGGACACGCTGTGAGGCATTAGACCGGTTTTAAATGTTGTTTTCATTTTAGAGAATCTAAGAAAATGTGATGCAAACGACCTTGAATGGCGACAATAATACCGTGTATATAAGAAGGACTTTTCTTCGGACTTTATTTCAAAGTGTCCATGTTTTTTGTTGCATTTTTCGCCAAATAAGTCATCTATTTACTTACTTGTTTCTAGAGCCCTTCTCATTTCTTCGTTAGTAAACTGAATGAACTTTTTTTGTCATACAAATACTACTTTTACTGCCCTGTGTTTCTTTACGTAATATGACATCGTATAATTCCCTTTCCTTGAGTCTTCGTTGCTAAAGAAACGAGGGATTAAGCACTCGAATCTGTAAGTAATAACAAGAAGCTCTAGGGACATGAGGAACTTAGGGTAAATGTAGAATTGGTTTACTTAATAATGGACGGTCCCTTCTCTAGCGATGGGATAGTACAGGCTGAGCTCTGGATGGTGTTTACCTCAGATGCAACACTTCCTATCAGACCTCTTAACTTAGCAGTAAAGAGAGAAAGACTGAAACACCTTTCCATAGAAATGGATGGCTATGTTGTCACACAAGTGGTTGGTAAGTTAGATTTTCAATGCCAAAAATGACTATTTTGTATAAGCAAAAGATAAAAAGTTCATTGAAATTGTCCATTTTGCTATCTAATAACGAAACATTTCTTGTTGCAGAAAGAGTCGATTGTCCGCTTATATGTTCTGAATTTTCGTATTGTGCAAGAAATGGTTCTTCATTTGAATGTGTTTGCACTCGAGGTTACAATGGTGACGGACATGGGTGCATTGGTAAGGGAACTTTGATAAACATCTTAAACAACGATTGTACGAGAACACAGATTAGTATTTTGAATATCAGAACACAAACTCCTTACAGAATAAAAGCTGTCTTTTTACTTTACTCGTTGTTAGACCAGGATGAATGTACAGTGAACAATGGCGGCTGTCAGCATATGTGTATCAACAGTCCACATGGGAGCTATCAGTGCTTGTGCAACCAGGGCTTCTTTCTCCATAGTGACAGGAGACAATGCCGAGGTAAGATTCAAAACTACAGGAACTGATTTCCTGTCTTGTCATGCAAACTGAAGTCTTCTTTCTCCACTTGCAGCATCTGAGGGTGAGTCGGCATATTGTGCATCTGAATGGAGCCAAGACGTCTTGTGGAGTCATACAGTAGAAAGCAGCACAGACGTCAAATCTTGTCCACAGGATCACTTTGGTGGTGAGTTATATCTAGAATGGAGTTAAGGTATCTTGTGTCGCCTTAGTATGCTTTACTAGGCCCTGATAGCCCATATTGAAAACTCGTATGCCACGGTTTCAACCAATTACAAGTAAAATCAAAACCATTGCGGCTTGAATAAAGGGGGTAAGTTTCTAAAGAAACTGAGGCGCTGTATCGGTGGAAGAGTATAACAGGGTAACTTGAAATTATCAACTGAGTTGATAACGTAAATTGGCCACTGTAAAGGGTTTCAAAGCGTTCTGAAGAAGGGCTAATGCTCGAATCGTCAGCTTTGAAACTCTTTACGGAAGCAAAAGTTATGTTATCAACACAGTTGATAATGCCATACTACCCTATTTGCGGTTTGGTTCCTCCCATATTTCCTCTTTTTGAAGCTGTTAGTATATGTTTACTCTATGTTCATCGATCTCTCGTTTTACATTGCCTATGCGATTTGTGATTGTTTTTTTTTGCGAAAATCAATAGAGAAATGCTCACTTATAAAGCTAATTTCTCCTTGAATAGTGAAGTGAGTCCATGGATTTTTACTAATATTGTTCTTGTCTTTATTACAGTTTAGCTATAATATGTGTTTATGATGTTTTTAATACAAAATTTATAGAACAGAATCAATGGTTGTAGATAGAAATGAGAGAGATGGTAAGTTTTGAGCTCGGTAAAGAAATGGTGAAAGATGTTTATTTCGTCTTGTCACGAGCGTGGGACAAAGAAAAAATTCTGAGTCCCCATGAGGAATCGAACCTCAGACCTTCGGATTCCGCGCTCCGATGCTCTAACCACTCAGCCACAGAGACTCCACGGTGAGCGAGGTCTATTACGAAGTTCATATGACACGCGTCCTGCATACCGCTAGGATCAGCAATTTCGGAAGCGCAATGTTTGTAGATAGAAATAAGAGAGATGATAAGTTTTGAGCTCGGTAAAGAATCAGTGGTGTATGTAACTTGCTGCCCGAAAGGTACATTTCTTTCTGTTTAACAGGAGATGCGCGGAGAATTTGTTACAGCGGTATCAGTAGCGGAGTGTGGGGAGTACCAGATCTCACTCGCTGCTTGACTAAGGCAATGTATGAACTCCAACAAAAAGTAAGTGATTAACTTGTTTATTTTGTGTTTTCTTTGTTTCTTAATCTGTTGCAACCCGCGTGCACTTTTGAGGGCCATACCCGATGGCGTTAGCAGGGTCTCAAAATGTCGTACAGCCCCGCCGGCTGCAATTTAAGTGGAGAAGGGAAGAAAGGAAACGACTGTCATACACTGAAATGCTTATTGACTGACTGTGGTGGGGGCGGAAGGGGAAAATTTTTAGTCCCTGGCTCTCCCACTTAGTCAATAACATAATATTTACACGATTTTTTTTTCAGTGTGGGTGACTTTTTTGTATTTCATGACCAAGTATCTAACACTTTTTATTTATTGCTCCTTCTTAACAGTTTTCAATACTTCTAAAGGGAGAACCCAGCTTTTCAGATTTGCTGGGCATTGGAAGGGAACTTCGACATATTCTGGACCCAAAAGTTGACAAGATCTATGCAGGAGATATATTCGCAGCTGTGGATATCATGAATGATTTAAACGAAAGGATTACGTACTTAATGAAGAACATTACCAAAGATGAATTAACGAACTTTCTCGAGGTAAATACGTCGCATATTATTTGTAGAATATCAACTAGAGATGCCACACCGTAATACCTTCCCTTATTCTCCTACCCCAGTTTTTCAACTGTTGTTTTGTTATTACCATATAGTTTGTGGAAACTATTTGCTCTGATGTTGCAGATCATGGGTGATGTTGTGAGTAATCTTCTTCACGTAGGAAACAGACAGGCTTGGAACGGAATGGATAAGGTAAAAAATTGTTACCAAATACACTTTCGTGTTTATGTACAGCTAATGGAATAAAAATTATTTTTCGGAACCAGAAGCCCACAACTTTCTCTGAAACTGATGAATCAGTTACCGTGAAAAGTCATTAGCATTTTTAACGACCATCATCATTGATTATGATCCCATCGAATAAGTTAGATCTCGAAAATCTGACTCAATTTTTCTCCAAAAAAAATTACAAAAAAAGATTAAGGCATAGAAAGAGCGTTGCTTTATTCTACGCGTATCAGTATAAATTACTGAATCAAATTTTTCCTGTAGATTGCGCTTAAGGCCACAGACATGGTGGCTGCTTTAGAAGAGAGTGTTACTGCTGTAGCTTACCAGCAGGTGCAAGATATGTTAAACAACGCCATTACAGATCCAGAAAAGTTTCACAATCTAAGCTTGAGAACCAAATCGCCTAATGTTGGTAAGAACCTAATCATCAAACTGACTGGAATATATTTTTTTGCCTAAATTTTACTGTATATATTTGAGATTTTAAACGATTTTTATTTTCGTTATATAATTATATCTTCATGTTTATGTACTTTGTATAGAGATATCCATCGATGTGGTTGAGATGATTGAGTTCCGAGGAATTTTACATTCACTGATGTATGATCTGTCTGCGGTTGGTGGAAATGGATCCATCATTCGGAATCAGATTTATTATCCACCTTCTCTCTTTGAGAATGCACTAAAGGACAAATTAGCCTCAGGTGGGCCGTGATCTGGTGATAATGCAACCTGAATAAACTAAACCACAAAAAATGTATGTAGAATAACTATTTCAGTTTCTTCCTGAAATCGATAGCACCACCACCACATCTATTAGTTCACTTCAAAAGCGGCAGCTGACGAACGGCCAAACTTTGAATTCAGATAGGTTTACATGTTTTATCATTTTGCCGATAGTTTCCTATTTAATATGTCGTCCAAGTTTTTCCAGGGCATTCTGAAAAATTTTTTCAAGCTTAAGAACATTAAGCCTGAGAGAATAAATGAAACAGGCAAAACCAGGTAATTGCGCAAGAAATCTTCGCAGGAACCGAGAAATTATTAACCTTTTTTTGTTTTAGGCTTCTATAGTAGTCTTGGCTGCTTTACTGATAACGACAAAGACCGCGCAGTGCCAACTATGGAAGGTACACATGAGTTATTGAAAGGAAGCTTCCTCACTCGCACGGATGCTGTGGAGAAGTGTGCAGAGGTGACAAGGAGTCGTGGTTGGAGGGTATTTGCTGTCCAAGATGGCGGATGGTGCGCATCAAGTCCTAATGCGCAGCGAACGTATAACAAATATGGGACCGCTTTGAATTGTGTCAATGGCAAGGGAGGCATGCTCGCTAACGACGTGTATATCATTAATGGTAAGAAACAACGTGGTGCTGTCTCGCAAATTACCGGATTATTTAAGTGAAATGAAATAACACCATTGTTCTGGTCTTGGATGTGAATTTTCGGAAATACTGTATATAGGAATTAACTTCGTGTTGCAGCATATTTAACAATAGCAATTGACTCAAAGACGTGCCTCATACAACATACAGCTTAAGTTGCCTGTCCTTAGCCGAACTTTGTATCGGAACCTAATTCTCGAACAGTACTTAACTCCTAGCAGTGGTTGTGTTTGTGTCAGTCTATCGTTCTCAATTAAGACCTTCACTAAGTTTTTGTTTTGGTGTAAGTTCTCGAACAGTTGGCGCTCTATTAGAAATACTTTTTTATACTTGCGATTGTCGTTTGAAAGTATTTCTGTCCTCGCACATCATGTTTGTTACTCCAAGATAAAATAAAAGGCAAGCACATGCCGCCGTAAAGCCTAATAGATAGATGGCTAGTCGAGCGTATATTTTGAAGAAAGTTCTTCAAAGCTAATTAGCTACTACCTGATTAACAGAAGAGTGAAGCAATCTTCTGGTTGTATCAAACGCAACCAATATACTTGAGAACTCAAGAGCCACGAGCCCCTTATTAAGCACCAATGCCTCTGATACCAGCTTGAAATGTAAAGTTCAACAGATAAAGATTAAGTGCAGTTTGCCATTTAAAAGACCCTTACTTTAAAGAAACTTAGAGAACTGAACTCATCGAATACGATCTCTACCTTTTAAAGAACGTTAGCAAGATCAGTGGATTAATTGAATGCAATTTCGATAACAGCTCGTTTTTTCCCTTGGTTAGCTTACTACACAAGTGTGTCGTCCGTCTTTTACAAGAACTTGGAAGGTTTGCTCACATCAGATCCTCTCTTAGAAATAAGGTGGGAAAACGATAAAAGTAGCTTTTCATTACAAAATATAACAATTTTCGATTGCTTCATTTCCTATCATCTTATCTTTTTGTACTCGTTCAAAATGTCCTATCTAATGGTGGTGTATTTTCAGATCTTTAAAGGAGATGGGAGCAAAGAAGCCCTACAACAGATCGGAGCTGAACTCCATCATCATATCAGGAAGAATTATTTCCGAGGATCACTTTTATCAGTCCCTTCCAGAGCCAATTGAGTTGGTGTTTGAGCACTTGGTAAGAAACTTAAGCACTACTTAAATTTTCTTGCATCACTTTCCAATCATACAGAATGAGCCATTGTTTAGCCCACTACAATGTAAAACACAATTTTATGCCTTTTGATTCTAATTTTCAAAAGTGAGTTTGAAGCAAATTTTGTCAGACACGCCATTTTGCATAATCTCGTCACTTGCCCATTATTTAGTTTGAGAGCAACGAATTCCTACCAAACGTTATATTTTTTAATAAAGGGGGAAAGTTTCTAAAAAAACTGTGGTGCTGCGTCGGTGGGAGAGTATAACAGGGTAATTTAGTATTATCAACTGAGTTGATAACGTAGATTGGCCACCGTAAAGAGTTTAAAAGCAGACGTTTCGAGCGTTAGCCTTTCGTCAGAGCGATAGTTATATTTTTTACATTTCTGTTTTCAGGATCAGAATCACACCTCCTCAGGTCTTTGTTGTTACTTCAACATGGAATCGACGTAAGTAGACATCATCCAATTTGGAGATCAATTCCACAAGCTTTACTGTTTTGGCTCGGCCATCAACGGTACAACAAACCTTGCAGTGACCATGCGGACTATTTGCACTTCCCTTAAGCACTTGAAATGGCCTCAGTTGGATTAATAAAGCCATTCTGGCACACGTAAAACGTTCACTTGTCAGTTCCCAAAGATATAAATTTATTTTTCTTTGCAGTGGACCCGACGATCGATGGTTTGACGATGGATGTTACTTGTACCATACTAATGCCACTCACACAATTTGCCATTGTTCACATCTGACTAATTTCGCTCTGCTTCTGGATTTATATGGTTCTCCGGTAAAGTCAGGACCACGTGGCCTTTTTTTTCCTCTTATAATAATTTGTCACATTTTATTCATTTTATCATCCTGAGGGTGTTAAAACAGGCTTTTATTCCTCTCCGCAATGTCTAAACGACGCAGAACAGCGTTCCCGAGGTGGAGCCCTTTGTTCAGTGACGAAAAAACTCATTAGCAAACCACTAAAAATCTGTTTTAAAGACTGAAAAAAAGACTGAACGAATATTGTGACATTCTGAGGCAATAGGTAGATACATAAGGAATCAGATTTCTTCCAATTAAAGTATCTTGCAGTTTTTTTTCAGTTGCAGAATCGAGATTGTCAATTAAGATTGTGATTAACTGTTATATAAACTTCAGTTTTTTTGTTTCGCATTTTAGCAGATTTAAAAATGAATGACATTCAAATTTTTACTCTAATTTTTTCAGGATGTCATTGAGAAAGATGAGGACTTGATCTTGTCTCTAATGTCTTATGTGGGATGCGTATTGTCGTCCGCTTGCTGTTTCTTCTCAGTGTTACTCTACAGCATCTTACAGTAAGTAGCTACAATCGAGCATTGTGCCATTCCAACTATCATGTTAAGGACACTGATGAGGAAGAATCAAACAGACCAAATATACACACACGTATAAAATAGTGTGGTGTCATAATGTGGATGACAGTTTTCATTCCGGGAGGTTTAATATCTTTCCCAGGCCAGTTCGAATTTTAAACATCGTTTTCATTTCCATTTTCAAAAGTAACGATATTTTCACAAAAGCGGCCTTCATTTGTGGTACTTAAACGGGTGTACGGTGTCCTCTCTTTTATTTTTTTTCTTTTTCCTCTGTTGTTGTTTTGATTTTTTTTTTTTTTTTTTTTCACCGATGGAGATTTTCGTCGAAAAGACTTAATCTTAGAGTGAAGATACTAAATATATCGGTAAGATTTATGAACGACGGATTGATCAATATTGATTTCAATACAGAACAAAAAAGTGATATCCGCAAAAAAGAAGTGGTTTGTCTGCGGTAATCTGTGGCGTTTTCTGTGGGACTGTCATTCAGTTAGGGTGGAGAGCTACAGGATCTTCTTGGGTAGCTCCATTGAAGTTTTTGTTCCATGGAATGTTTACCCCCTTGCTCTCTTTGCACAACTGTGGTTTTTGATTTTCGCTAATCGTGAACAAAACTCGAAATCACTCTTTAACCGTGAAGTAATATTAAACCGGATATATATGTGTCCTATTTGGTAAGCTACATTTGCATCTAAAGATATCTTGTGCTTGTCGATTTTCAGGCCATTCATTCGTTTGTTCTTTTTTCAGCCTCAAGGGAGATCGTATACATGTGCACAAGAATCTAGCATTTAACATGGGAGTTGTTCAACTTCTTTTCTTTTTTGGGACCGGTCAAACTCAGAACAAGGTAGTTAGATCAATATATGAGATTCACAATTCTTCAATCGATAAAATTATAAGTCATTTGAAAGCAATATGTTCATTCACAGGAGATTATGATTTTTCATTGTAATCCTTCAATAAGTTAGTGATTTTGATGATTTTTCCTAACTCTGATTTGTCTCTCGTAGTGGTTGTGTAAGGCTGTGGGGATCGCGCTTCATTTTTTCCTCGCTGCCATGTTTGCTTGGATGCTCGTGGAAGGATGGCATCTCTATTTAGCCATCATCAAAGTACTTTCTACTCAGAAGAAGAGTTTCCTCAAGAGATACTATATATTGGGATATGGTAAGATTTTAATTCGCTCAATTGTTCGCTCTTTGTATTGTAGGAGTTGAAAACCAACTACTAGTTTAGTTTTCTTTGCCGTCAAGGATGTAATGAAGAGAGAACATAACACTCAGTAGTTTTGCTCTTTAGTTAACCTCTCTGTGTTGATAGCTATGCCTTAGAACATAGTATGATGGAGACTAGGTCAGGATGAAACTGATTGCAACTATTCATTTAGGTTTACCTACAGGCGTGACTGCCTTATCCATGGCTATTTTCTGGGACAATTATGGAGTAGGGAAAATGTGAGTAACACAGTCATTTCAATTAAACTGTGCATCAAGAGAAATATCTGTAAAATGCGGCACGGTTAAATAAGCAAGATCCACTCATTAACAGTTTCAGTTATTTTCAGTCACCTTAATGTGTGTTTCACGTGAAATAGATATTACAGAGAATATTTTTCTATGGCGACCATATCACAGGACACGTGCAAGTTGCAAAAGGTGAAAAGCAACATTCAGTGGCTTAAGCCTGGATTTGATCCAACTTGTTGTGATAGGCGGCTCCTGATTAGTGATAACCGCTATTTGATCATCTTAGATCGGGTGGTAATAGATATCTATTTCGCCCCTTTCCAAGGAGTAAAGTTTCTCAAAGCAAAGGAACGTTTGTATATTGAAGCACAAAGCTTACTGACTTTTAAATTAAAACACATTCAATGCGTCGGGCAAATGATCATAATGTTCATTTATGACTAGGATTTTGTTTTACGCAGTTGCTGGATGACAGAAATTGTGCTAGTCTCGCTCTTCCTTCCTCCTGTTGTGGTTGTGATACTTGTAAGTATGGATTTTAATCTTATATTTAATTGAACTCGTGGGAAAATCTGCAATCACGTTAGCATGGCACCTTGACTCCCGCTACATCATGCGTGGACAGGGTTGAATGGTCTGAGAATACTCACTTAGTTCAGCGTCACAAGCTTTTATTAAATTATAATTTTTTTTTAAGACAAATATAGTTATTCTTGGAATGGTCATTGGAGTGCTAATATCCCCAACAACAGAAAAGCGACAAAAGTACACCAGTGACAAGAACTTTATTAACAATATAAGGTAAGAATTTAAGCGTTTTTGGAATTCACAAGACTAAAGTGGAATCAAAACTTATCTTTCTTGCAAACTCATCATAATAAACTTAGTTAGTGTGGATTCTCACCACTGGTCTCCAATAAACACTCATTTAATACCTCACCATTCGGTAAAAGCTGGACTAAGGAACCTGAAGGATCGCCAAGAATTACGGACTACATTCAGTGAAACATGAACGTCAGTCAAAGACTAATATGAACAGCTCTACATGAAAGGAAGTGGCCTCCTCAGTCTGAATTTACTGAAAACGATATATTACGTGGGTACCCTTAATAAAAACGTTTCTACAAAGCGTGCGTTCCCTTTCTTCTTCACATTGAAAGACAACGTACTACCTTTACGCAACAAACGTGGGGTGCGAGGAACCATTGTTACCAACAGTGGTGATCAAGGTTTAGATAAATTACGAGTTTGCTCAAATTCCACTAAATCTTTGATCAGTTAGCTCAAAAACGAATACTAAGTCTATCTCATCTCTAGTCCACTGGTGTCATTTTTTATTTATTCAGTGTACGTAAAGTGGCAATAGGGACGTTTTTTAGAAATTTTTTTAGTTTTCCTCCAAATTGTTAACTCCTTTTTAAACGAAGTAAAAGAACACTCGTCTTTTTCCTGTGAATGAAATAACGTAACTCTTGCTTTGATCACTGCTTGACAGGGTGGCACTGAAGGCATCTCTGCTTCTTCTACCGTTGCTGGGAATAACTTGGTTGCTGGGTTTCTTACAAGTAAACTCTGACACAGCAGTTATGTCTTACGCCTTTGTTCTACTTAGCAGCTTCCAGGTAGCAACCAGTAGAGCATTTGCATTCAGACACGTAAATTTCTTGTATTACTCTTATAACGCGAATTTATCGACAATTAAGTCATTTATGTTCCTTTGCTAACTTTTTGCCTGATGTCTTTTCAGGGCGTGTACTTCTTTGTCACTAACGTTGTAATGGATCAAGAGGTACCGCGTTTGTTTGCTGTGATGTGACTGTTGTTGGCTTGGTGCCTTTGGAGTTCGTTTATTGTTTTGTTTGTTCCCTGTTTGTCTGTTCGTGGTTTTAGTTTCGTTATTTTGAAGAAGAATGTAAGTCAATTCGTCATGACACTTAGTTTTTCTGTTATAATTTAGGTGTGCACTACATTTAAAAAACGGTTTTTAAAGAAACATTATTCCTGGAGTTTCTTTCGATCCTCTTCAACTCCCAGCGTGCAGGACGGTGTCAGACAAGGAGACATTTTAGCTGCATCTGTTAAAAGGGTAAGAGTTAGTCGAGATTAATTAACTTTTAAACTTATCAACATTATTACTGTATTTTCATAAATTATATGTAAGTACAACTTACAACCTAAATCAGTCGTTAGCAACCTTCAAGGAGAGTAGTCAATTGTATTTATTTCAACAAGCAAAATTCAGAATAAAATTTGGAGCGGTTTGAGTTGGCAGTATATTTGTCCTTCTTAGAAAGGTTTGAAGTTGCTAGCGATTAATGTTTCAGAAAAATTCAAGAAATACGAGGTGCAGTTAAATAAACTCAAATAATTCATTGTTACCTTTGCTAGTCTCTTTATCGCCCCTGCGAGTCCTCTTCTGAATGTTAAACAGAAGTAAATTTATTGTGACAAAGCAATCCTAGTGCGTGCTCTAAAAGAAATTGTCAACGTTAATAAGGTCCAGTAGTGCCGGCCAAGGTTTTCATTACACTTAAGAAAACAGACTTTGGCCAAACTTGGCTTGTAGGTGGTTTCTTTATTTAGTCATATATCAATTTATTCTAATCGTTGTATCTTTAGGCTACAGCCTACTCCAATGAATCATTCAGTTCCCGAAAAACCTATGAAAAAAGGCAAATGGAAGGAAGAAGGAACGAAAACAGACTTTATTCGCCCAACAGTGATATAAAAGTAGGTAGACCGAGATTGTACAACCAATTAACGTTACATCTACTTCTACCTACATGAGCTTACATCGCCTTCTACCACCTCTTCACGGGTTTTACGAAATAATGAAGTGTTTATGGAGCTGTAGCATTTCATCAATATGCAGCATACTGACACTTGCCACAGACACAGGGAATGTCCACCACAATGCAGTATCTTTTGCCAGAGAATGATTCATCATAAATTTGTGACTTCCGCAAAATTGCGTCCAAGTTTGTGTTTTCAAAGTGTCTGTGTCAGGATTTTTTGGGTCAAGAAAGTGGTGCTTAGGGTTTGGCCAAGAGAAAATAACGAGACATTACTTTCTCTTGCTTTTACTCATGCCCCGAAGAGAGGGTTGACTGTCAACAACTTTTGATAAAATCAATAAAATCTTAACGAGAATAATAATACTGGCCTAATATTTTAATAATGATATTTCCGGGCATTACATATCCATAACTTGATATCGTGATAACTTTGGAACACTTCATAGATAAATTATAACATCTATATGATATGTAAATTCACTTACTTTTAAAATTTGTTCTTTTATTGCAGAGACAGTGGCAGGAAATGAATGAGTACTGATTCTTCCTCACTCAAGATTTCTCATTCCTTAGATCCCTAGATATCTATAATTGTCAATCGTACAGCACTATGTTGCACAATTGCGTTAAGGCTTTACTTTGCAGTTTTAACCATGTTGCTTTCCGTTTAGTCCTAGAAATTAGGTTTGCCGTCTCTAGTTCATTTACTCTCTTCCTCTCTCTCTCTCTCTCAAGATATAAAGTACACCACTTTTGTAACCTTTTGTCTCTTAAGTGATATTTCGTTGAGGAATGCAGAAAATGTCGCATCTAAAGCATGGATGGGTGTATCAATGTTTTGTTCGTGTTATGTTAAAATTTCAAAAGAATTAACGCACCTTTTTTTTTTTTATTCACTTTTCAAACGTGAAATGTAACCTTTGTGGCACCCGTTGGGGTAAGGGCGCATTTTAAAGGGTTATTGGCGTATTCTATGGCAACTAATGGATAGATCGATTGCTAATACACACCACTAGGTTCTCTCAACTACCCTCACAAATTTCAAACCAGTTTTCTGAGCGTTTGAAAAAATCAGGTAAATGTGTACGCCTTTTCATCCGTGGTCAAGATTGGCAATTCAATTTAAGCCCTTGAAATGCACTTTTGAACTTGACAAGTCCACTATGACTATGTTATTCAACGTTTCCTGCTAAAATTTTTGTGACATATAGTTCCACGTCAATTATTTATGCTTACAAAGTTTCAGCTTTTTAGCTTGTTTTCGTTATCCTTGGCAACCATTTAACCAACATACACCCTTGACTGTACTGCGGGTTACAAGAGTGCCACTTTCGCTAGATTTTTCTCAAAGGGAAATTCCCATTTAAAAGCGTCGAAATTAAATAAACTCTGGTACAAACAATCGCCGTGCTCTGTGCTTACTGTTACATTATTTTAAGTTGGTGGATTTAATTTTCTAGTGCTGGGATCAACCAAGTTGATCAATTAAAAATTTAATACAAACCACAGTTAAACCATACGAGTATATACACTTTATTAAGTAGACAGTAGGTGTCAAAATTAAATTTCCACCGATGCTTTTGAACGTGAGAACCTTAAGAAATGTAGAAATTGTTATTTCTTTCATGAAGATTGTGTTTTTAATAGACTGATGTATTATATTCCTCCCACGGTCCCCATTTATACCGTCCGTTAAATTGTGTTCCTTCTTTTTCGGTCGTTTGGGATATCGCACTATAACGGAAAGGAAAATATCAAGCTGGCTAGTAGCAAATTAAGCTCGCTAATTTGAAAAGGAATAGATGGGCAATCCTTAAATGGTAGGAAAAAATCGTGATTTTAAGCGACTTCCATGTAGTATGATAGTAAGGTTTCCAGCCTGTATAGTTTCGGAAACCTTTTTTTTTTTCTCCCCCATTACCACGTGGATCCACCAACCTCCCCCATTTTAGGTGACTTTATTTCGCTATTCCTAACCCTGACCCTAGCCTGAGAGTGAGTTTGATAATCGCTTTATCTTGGCCTCATTTCATTTCAGTAATCAGAGCACGGTTTCGACATGTAGTACAAGCATCGTCCATTCCAAAGAGCGTGGTTATAAATGAAATGTTTAAAGTTGAATCAAACGTTTGCGAAACTAACGGGGCATAAGCTACCCTACTTTACGCTGACTTTTACAGTTTCTTACTTAGCGATGGATTATAGGTAAAGATGAATCGCTTAGTTTGGGTTTCCTTGTTCAAGCTGCGAGATAACCTTAAACTACACAACGACTCTTTAATCTGATTTCAGTACGGGAAAACGGTATTACCTTTCAACTGGGCATAATTCAACTACATTTGTTCTTGTAGGATACATAATTGTTTTATACTCAATGACATAAGTTTACCACCATCATTGAGAGATGGGTATTCAAAGTGAAAGGTCATCCGCATCCAAATAACGAAAAAAAAAAAAACCGAAAACAAAAACAAACGAACAAAAATTACTTCAAAGATTAGGGTGTAATCTTCACTGCCTAAAGTTTCATGTCTTACTATAATCATAGTGATTTACTATTTACCAACACAACTTAAGTAAAGTGCTCCTCTATTGGTCAATTCAGCGTCTACTATTTGCTCGTGGGTGAACACTGACGATTGCCTTCCGTATGAGCAGGCGCGCTGATGTGGCGCGACATAGCGCAAACGTTCAAAGTCGAAAAATGAAAATGCTGCTAATTCACGAGTTTTTATACTTTACTTCGATTTCCTTGTGGAATTGAGTAGCTACTTATGGAATAGACCCCTTGCGATACTGAAAAATTGGAACTCTACGATATGTCCCATATTATTCCAAAGCTTGACTCCTTTCAAGTTTTTGTCAAGGATTGCGTAAGAACTACACGCGTTAAACTGAAAAAGCTGTGTTATAGAACAGATGGTACCAAAGCCTACACTATTGAGCTTGGACGCACCTGGGAGATTTGCGAAGCACTTAAGAATCTAAGTCGCTCTCAGCTATCGCCTCATGGCGTTATATGAAACAGTGAGAAAGACGATAAAGAGCTGGGAACAAGAAAGGCAGTCAATGAGTCCAATGAATGTGAACTCGTAACAGCTGCCTCCCTAGGTATGGAACGAGCTCCCTGGAAAGAAGAGTCGTTACAAGCACTGCAAAATTTATTTGCAGAAGAAATATCGTTGCAAAGTGTCACCATGTCTTTGGTTCGAGAAAAGATCCAGTCTGACCCGATATTGTGCAAAGAAAGTCCAATAAGAGTATACGGCAGGATCCGTGCGGAATGGCGTCACAGTTCGCAAACAGCCTGGTAAGCTGATGAGACTACTTCATTACCAATTGAGAAAGAAACTGTGCCATTCGTGTCGGTAGAGTGTTTGAAGACACAAGCAGCCATAAGTCTGAAATTTGGGCACCCACGAATACGACTGAAAGATCCAAAGGCATATTTAGCGATAACAGAAGAGAAAACGAGATCAATAAAAATAAACTTTACTATCATCTCGACGAATTGAAGTAGCGAAAGGGATTTCATTTCAAAAGAAGCAACCGTCCCTGTCTAGGAATAATGATATGGGACTCATGAAGTAATCGATAAACCTTATGCATGATGATGTCATGTACCAAAAATTCACCACCAAGCCTCACTAATTCACTTTATTTGTTGAGAATAACAACGATTTGCTGCTCTTATAGGCAAAACTGTGTAGAAAAGGCCGCCATTTTGTTGTATTTGCGTGTGGTAAACGACGCGTACATTTTGCCTCGTAAGGTTGCACAATGCAATATTGAGGAGTCCTTTTATGGCGATTAAATCTGCAGACAATAGTTCGGCCTTGCTGCATGGGTTAAGGAAGCCTTTGCTTTTAACGATAAAATATGTCTTGCAATGTAGTGTCGTGGAATATCTTACAACGTTAATACATTCATCTATTTCTGATGAGAAGGGAACGATGCAGTTCCTTTCCTCTGAAGTGTATGTTTAGGAAAGTGTTTCACTAGTTACTTGTAGTGAATACACACTTTTCAAGAATATGGCGTCACCGTAGTGCCACAAAAGTTACACAAGTGCCACAAAAGTTACATTAGTGCCACAAAGTTACAGGAGTGCCAGGTTACAATAGTGCCATAAGTTACGTAAGTGCCACAAAAGTTACAGAAGTGCCACTTTAGGTTACATAAGTGCCAAAATGAGGTTACAAAAGTGCCTTTATATCTAGCTCTCTCTCTCTCTCTCTCTCTCTCTCTCTCTCTCTCTCTCTCTCTCTCTCTCTCTCTCTCTCTCTCTCTCTCTCTCTCTCTCTCTCCCCCCTCTCTCTGTCTCTCTGATCTTTTTATCGTCGCAGCAAAATTTGATTGTGATTCGATTTTGCCTCTCTCGATTGAGATATACACAAACCTATAGGTAGAAAAACTCAGGGCCAAGCACGCAAACGTTTTCAAGTTTTGTATTCCTGAACAAATAAAGATCTCCCACAGACATGGTTTGATGCTACTCTGATTGAAAGATTTAATGAATGTAACCGAGAAGTTACAATTCATAGACCCAACGTTTCGACACTCCTGCCTAGGGTAACCGGTCAAGTCGCCCGAGAGTCATCTCGCCCGAAGTCATGTCGCCTGAAACCTGAGTCATGTTGCCCGAAATGTTAGTAATGTCGCCCGAAAAAAAAGTCAAGTTGCCCGAAGAAACAAATACTAAAAAGATCAGAATTTCAGACTGTAAATAAGCAATAGCGTTGAGAAATTTTTTATCACTAAAGCGCTCTTTTTTTCCGACAACACCATGAAGACTGGATTCTTAAAGGGACAACAAAGGGAACCGTTGTTCGTTTCCAACAACAAACTGAAGCGTTGTTCATTTGGTATGTAATCGTTTCTTGCTCACGGATGTTTCGTAAGCTTGAGAAAACTTTTTTCTGGTTTCTAACAATACCATGAAGACTTTGACTACACATAAATCGATCGTATGTTCGGAATCGAAATATGTTTGAGTAACGATTCTAAAAGCGTTGTTCGTTTCTAACAACAAAGGGACAAAAAAATGAAGGGTTGTTCGTTTGGTATGCAATCGTTTCTTACTCACAGACGTTTCGTAAGCTTGAGAAACTTTTTCTTGGTTTCTAACAATACCATGAAGACTTTGACTACACAGAAATCGATCGTTTGCTCGCAATTGAAATATGCTTGAGTAACGATTTTAAAAGCGTTGTTCGTTTCTAACAACAAAGGGAAGCGTTCTTCGTTTCTATAACAACAAATAAACGGATGCAGCGTAACATACAAGTAAAGTTCTGTTGTGTCTATTTGTGACTTTCTTAACAATAACAGATGAAAACACCTAGTAAACGAATGTCGACTGTCGCGTTCGACAATTCGATAAAAGGTAAAGCGAGTAACATACAAATACAATTAACTTGTTGCCTTGCGTAAGGTAAGTGTGATATTTTTAAGATAACAGTCTATTGCTATGCTTGTGACTTTTTTCACAGTAGTAGTCTGATCGCGTCATTTCCCTTAGCATCAGCATAGGCAAAAATTATGTAGTTGTGCTCTGTTTCCTCTGGCGGTCGCATGTACATTTTGATCCGATCAAAGTATATATGAAGAGGGTAAAGCTAGCTCCAATACGAATACGAACTGATCAAAATGAGCATTCATCCTTGCATTGAGTGTGTAACAGTAACAATAATAAGTAATTGTGATGATGAAGTTAGACCACGTCAACAAGCCCTACAGTGCGACGATTACGGTCGATCATATGGCCTTTCTGACCATATTATCGATTTCTGTGTAGTCAAAGTCTTCATGGTTTTGTTAGAAACCAAGAAAAAGTTTCTCAAGCTTACGAAATGTCCGTAAGTAAGAAACGAGTACATACCAAACGAACAACGCTTCATTTTTTTGTTAGAAACGGAAAAC